ATATATATATATATATATATATATATATATATATATATATATATATATATATATATATATATATATATATATATATATATATATATATATATATATATATATACATATATATACAATATATATATATATATATATATATATATATATATATATATATATATATATATATATATATATATATATATATATATATATATATATATATATATATATATATATATATATATATATATATATATATATATATATATATATATATATATATATATATATATATATATATATATATATATATATATATAGGCTCTGCAAACATTCTTCGAACTCTGATATTTAGAGACAAAGGCGTTCTGCAACCTACTATAATCGGCTCCTTTTTCTTTGTAATGTATATCTATGACTAGGCAGGTAACTTGTCATACAGTAAATGTTTCTTGTATGCAGGTGATGCAACTGCTGTAACTAAAGAAACAATCGACCCATGCATCAACAAACTACCCCTCGACATCAAGAACATCTATGACAATGCATAGCTAATGCCGAATAATGAATATTACTTATCGCTCATTTGCCTATGCCGGTCATAACTTTGCACTTCCAACATTTTCTAGTACTCTCAGCGGCCAGATGCGGTGGTCTAGTGGCTAAGGTACTTGGCTACTGACCCGCAGGTAGCGGGATCGAATCCCGGCTGTGGCGGCTGCATTTTAGATGGGGGCGGAAATGCTGTAGGCCCGTGTGGTCAGATTTCAGTGTACGTGAAAGAGCCACAGGTGGTCGAAATTTCCGGAGCCCTCGACTACGGCGTCTCTCATAATCATATGGTGGTTTGGGGACGTTAACTACCACATATCAATCAATTATTTGTACTTTAAGCGCCCTTATTTGAAGCTCATCTTAGAGAATTTCCCTCACATTTCACATACAAAACATATATTCGCTCATTGCATAAGAGTATTTGCTGAAGCAAAATTACTAAAGAGTTTACTTTATTCATAGACCACGGCAGTGGTAAAATGGTCACCCCACTAGGGGTCTGTACTAAAAATTAGGGCATAGCCACGAAGTGAATGTTGACGAGTGGGCTAAGCCGTTTGATCATTTGGTGTTATTGTAAATCACTCTTGACCTTGACCATTCACGTATGTAAATGAGCGACAGGGGGGTGTACAGTTAAATTCTATGTTTACTTTAACCGATATGTTGCGCTGAGTTGCGAGTTTCTCTTTGTATTCATAATATTATTGCTTTGTGGTATCGGATGTAGCCTGAAGCTGGCAAAGACGTGAACGTTCCTCTGGTGATGGTTGTTTTTTCTGGTCATAAGAAATGCATCGTAGAGCATATCGAGACGTCATCTACTGCACAAGACAATCGTTGTTCATGATCATCATCGTCATCATCTTCATCGTCATCAGTGACATCGTCATCGTCAGGACGTTTAGCAGGTACCTTGCACGTGCAGTGCCGTGATGGCGCAAAGAAAATGTTTAGACTGAAACGTGCTTGTTCTTCATCGTTATCAGCATCATCGTCATCGAAAACGGTGGCTATGGCGTGACAGAGGATAGGCCTCGTTCATAAGCTGCTTCGCGTCTAAAACATGTGGCTTGGATACCGGCCGCGGTGGTGACATTTCACTAGAGGTGAATAGCTGGAGACCCTTACATTTGAAGTTTGGTTCCTGCTAAACACTCCTCGGTGGCCTAACTTTCCCAAGTCCTTCGCTGGACTGTGCCTCATAAGCATAGGATGATTCTGGTTCGTAAAACTTTCATCATACATTAACACCACACACTTTTCATGGCATGGGCATGATTTATTACTTCTATGTTTTTACCCACCTTAGGGCGAGGGATTTTAAGGCCCTTATACAGCCGCTAATCACAATTATTGTCCACATCTCTAGTCCCATGAACTGGTGCTCTTTGGCCATCAAATGACCCTTGCGCCACAAAGCACCAAACATAATCAAAACTCCCGCAATTTAGCGTCTTCATCCCCGTTAAAAATACGCACTGCATCGCATCACGGGCAATTATCTATCAATTTCGTTTACGCACGCTTCAACTTTTCGAAAGTCAAGCCATTTGCATCCTAACACTCAGTTGATCGTTCACAAATGAATCTTCTCCATTTCGGCAACATGCCCCCATACAAGTGCGTAATTTCTTCTGATACACATGCAGAACCCTTGTGTTTAGTTGACTAAACCTAATCTTAGCAACTCAAGTATTCAGAAAAAGACATTTTACTATTTTAACCCAGATTGTACTATCAGCGTCAAATGGAACTCGAACAGTGCACTGTTCGCAAAGGCTTGCCATGGCATAGTATAGTGGATGGTATATAGTGCGCGTCGTCCAGTGCTCCCCATGAACGTGCACGCATATATGCGCACAGCTGCCGAGCAGGATGCGTGTGACTGTCAATGGAGATAACAGGTATCGGATATAGCATGAAGTTGGCAAAAAGCGAGGTCTGGGCACCTTCTCTTGGTGCTTGTTGTTTGTTTCCAGTCATACGGAATGCACTGTAGAGTATATTAAGACGCGGTCTACTGCACAAGCCAGTCGTTGTCCATGATCGTCACCGTCATCAACGCCATCGTCATTTCGTAGAGTGCCTGGCATGTGCTGTGCTATGATGGCAGAAAAAGAATGTGGAGTCTGGAACGCACGTGTTTATCATCGTGACGTACAGTGGTTAGTTTGCATGTTCTGCGCCATGATGGCAAAAACAGAGTGTGTGGGATGCAACGCGTAGCTTCTTCATCGCCATCGGCATGATCGTCATAGTCAGTGGCGGCTACGGCACAAAACGCAAACGCCAAGGGCCAAGACTCGATCTCAGGAAGCTTGACCCCTAAAATAACACGTGGCTACGTTCTCAGCCAGGAAAGGTAATTGCGTAATCTGGACTTACTACCTCTCAGTTTCCCAGTTTCATGCCTTTGCGTCCCTGTGTGCGCTGCATTGTAATAAAGTGTCGTTTTACTTATCTAGTGGCTCTTTTACTACTCCGTTAAAGAAAGCGAAGACGAATGAGTACGTTGTTGAAAATTGCGTCGGTAGGTGTATTGTAACGCGCCTACATAAACCATATTGAGATTTCAATGAATAAAGGCGTTTTTGTTGAGTGAGAAACAAACTAGGACCAACTAAACCTCATTAACGAAATAATCGGTAAAGGCTGCCATAGTATACTAGGAACATTATGAACTGTGTGCTTCGTTTAAAGGCGTCCTCTTTTTTTTTTTTTTTTTGAAATCGGGGCGCATGATGCTCGGGGCACCCTGTGTGTGGAGTGTTATTAAAATTACTTTTCGAGGGTTTCGCTGGCGCATATTGACGAGAATTACTCAACAAAATGAAAATGCAGAACAAAAAAATACGGAAGGGACAAGCGCAAATGATATTGAAATAGAAAAGAACAAAATACATGAAGTGGTCGGATCAGTTACCGGAAGAACGCTTCAGGTCTATTAGTTATTCCACTGTAGCCTCAAAATCAACATTAGTTATCCCTAGAAATGAATTACTTTAAGGTGTTCCAAAGGTGTCTCTTGCAGCAGAGTCACACGTCAAGAATATGTATCAAGGATGACCTGGCTATCAGGTATTCTCACTCTGAGAAAAGGCTAAAAAAGTGAAATATTTTAGTATTTATTTAATTAATGTTTACTTATTGTTTATGCTTGTTTCTAAAAAAGTAATTGACCATTTTCGAGACTTTTAGGTTTCTCTTTTACAACTAACCAGTTTCTCCTTTACCACTAAGTCGGTACCATATTTTCAGCACTAATTTTTCAGCACTAATTCATGTTCTAATTGAATTGTGAACGTCTGTAGCCTTTCACTCTAACCCATAATGTTCAAAACACGTTTCTTTGAGAGCGTTCTTTTGTGAACTGCGAATGGCGCTGAAGCCAGCATTTCGACTAGGCGACATGGATTCGACAAGGCAACAACAAAGAAAAAGAACTTGTCCTGTTAGCTCATTCTTGTAAATGTCTTGCTTTTTGCGCTTAAAGTTTCCCCTATAACTATTGACAAACTCGCCGCATTTTATTTTTGTAAACACAGAGAAGTCCAGTTGTGGCAACCCTGGCTCCATCAGCATCCTCCATTCAATAATTACCCCGTAGTTCAAGCTTCTGTCTTCACCCAAACATGGGTCATGTTTGCGTGAGTTTGTGTTAAAGATCAAGACTGTCTACATTTAATAGTGATGTACCAAATATACAGAGAATATCATTCATAGAGGTATAGCGCACCACGACAAGGACACACACACACAAAAAAGAGAGAGACGCACACACACACAGCACTAACTTACAACTATTGTTTTATTTGCGATCACACCTGCTATTTATACAGTAACAGTAGACCCATAAAACCTGGAACATATCATGTCAAGATACAGCAAACTTCATGCACGCGTCATCATCGATTGCGACAATCTGCACTCGCCAACGTCCAAGTGAAGATTCTAGATACTTCTCTTCTTTAGCTGACAGAGCTGTCGAAGCCACACTCACACATTTATCTTTCATTTTGTCCATTTCAAAGGCTTCAATAATTTCACGTGTAGTTCTGTCTCGGGCCCTAAAGAGAATACGGGTGTTTTGAAACACAGGGACACAACCACATCTCGGACAATGAAGGGCCAAATGACCAGATATGGCTTTTTCTACGTTGTACTTGTCTTCCCCAAGTCTTTCGCTCACACACCTTCCAGATTGACCAATGTAAACGCAATCACAACTCGAATGAGTGCCATAGACAACATCATGACAACAATTCACAAATTTTTTCCAGTGCTTGATCTTCCATTCTTGTTTCCCGCAGCTGTTTACAACTAGTCCGGCAACGTGTCTTAGCAAATACAGGGAATTTACAATGATGGTTAGGTTAGGTTAATTAGTTTTTTATGGCGCAAAAGCAGCTAAGGCTATGCTAATCATGACCAAGTAACATTCATTAAGACATAAGAGGCAGTAACCTGGGGTACATGTTTTATTGCACACTTCACTTCTATTGCGACTTCACCATTTTGCGATTATACTGCGATTTCACCATTCGTGTACTCCGCAGACTCCTCTCTTGCAAGTCTGTAAATAAATAAAACTTATAATAAACGGGCTGAACTGTTCAAAACGTTATTCTACGTGATATGCCATGAGCTGCAAAGTCAACCTTGAGCCCATATATATCGAAGTCAAAGCAATCCGTATGACTCGAAATATAGGGCGTTTGCATTCCACGTGCGCTATGGAAGGCTTGGTACTATATTGAGGCAACGACCTTGCGATAGGAAGTGGTGCTATAATAGTTAGGCAATGTCCGAACTTATATGTTATCAGGTGACAGTTTATTCACAAAATTAATGCGCAATTTAGAGGACGAATTTCGTTGGAAATGCTAAACTCTTTTTGCATGAGTACTCACATGATTGCTGCAAATGGCTACACGAGCAGGTTGGGAGATGTGCCGAATATAACAGAAATCATTCGAATTACTTCTATAAAAACGCGTTTTAGTTTCATGCTATAACAGATTCTTATGACGGGGGGATTTACCACGCTTTTTTCTGACGCTCACCTTATACTTTGTTTCTAGAATAGTACACACTATAACGATCAATCAGGTGCGTTCATATGTGAGGTATTTGATCAATTAGATACTCACTTTGCCTTTCAGACAAGTCATGCGTTCCAACATTGGAGTTGGCCAGCAAGTTCTCATGTTACCTTGCCAATAGCAGCATTGCATTTTACAATTTTGGGCATCTTGAGTTCCCTGTGAAAAGAATCGGACAACACTGGATGGCATTTTTTGAGCACACGCAAGAAAAATTATGTCTACGTCTCGAAACCACAAAATTGTCATGTGAGCTTCTTCTTATATTTGAAATAGTTGACCAGTTACACGTGTGACTGCTTTGCGCGCATATAATAAGATTAAGATAATACTGGTAATATTAATATTAATAAAGTTAGTAATAGTAATTTATTTGCTGTCCATACAATTAAGTGTAATGGAAGGTGTGAGACTAAAGTGAGGAACACTTGACAATGCTCTGACACATTTTACAATTAGGCAGCAGCAGCAGAAGCAAACATCATTATAATGAAATAATCCTTGCTCACAAGAGAGTAAAACAAAATAGAAAGAAAGAGAAAACAAAATAGTAAAAAAAGGCAAACTAATGTAGAATAAAAAATGAGGGAAGTGCACTTCCATGCGTTTCATTTTACAGCACATGCGTTATACAAATCTATGAGGGGTGCAAGATTACAAGTCCCCATGAACAGATGTCACTGGCAAAGATTTAGCATAATAAAAATAGAATAACAAAATAGTAATGATATATAAACATGAAGTATGCAATTTTGTCAGTAGACGGTGATACCCTCGCTTTTTTTTGTAAGTTCAGCAACTTGGGACGTAGCGGAGTTCGACCGGTGAGGCCTCGGGCGACCGAATGAGCTTTCTCTTCCCCTGTAAGTTCCTGGCGAGTTGTTGCCCAGGTGAGCAATATTGTCTCCCCGAGTTTCATACGTGGATGGCAGTCTCCACCAACTTTTCAGATTAACAATTTCTCACAGCGTTTCTGGAAGCGCTGTTGACCACCCTGTCCCCCTATTGGCTGATGGGCAGTTCCTCAGCATCTACAGTCCCGACACCACTTACTGCGCAGCATGACATCAGGGCTTTCTCTTCCCTGACTGACAAGTCACTAATAAGGGAGGGACGTCACTAATAAGGGAAAGACGTTATGTGGCGAAAGTCACAGGCGGGTTTTTCCAGACCCTCTTCTTTGCATCAAGTGGCACGATGAGTTTTCCGGCCCTAGTGCAAATTTTATGATGAGGCAGGAAATTTGATTCACATGGTGTGGACACGTCTGAGTCAGTCCTATGATTGACACATACCATACTCCCGAGAAGCCCTTATCCGCTGCCCTAACCTCAAAGTACAGCAAGAAATCATCCAATCAAGCCTTTGCTTCTGTCGCGTCTCAAACAATTCTGTCCAATGGCCCAAGGCGACGGGTAATGCCTGACACGCTTAATTAAATTCTATTAAAGCTTTTTCTCTACTTCTCAAGTAAGCCTTAACAGGCAGCGCGTACAGTACAGTTTAGTCTCAAAATTACTCGGCTTCCAAATATAAAGCTGGAACCTTAGGTGACACACGTTTAATGGCCGACGCGCATTACCACGGATGGTATTGCCGATGACTCTGATAGCCATCATCAGTGTACATCGTATATTGCTTATGCTTTGGCTGTCAATATTCTGGGTAAAATAACGCGAGTAAACTAGTCCTTTTTTAGCAGCCTCCGCAGTTCCTTCTTTAGCATCATGATCACGTGTATTTTTAGGAAGAATGCCATTGCGAACTGCTCCGTAATTTTGACAATTTGTTGTTTCAACTTGCACCTAAATCTATAAGAACACGGACAGTTGTAATCAATGGACACTTGTAACGAGCGGTGAAATTCGTTTCGCACAGCGTTAATCACAGTGGTTGTTCTCGAACTACAGGTGGTCACAGACGTCGTAGCCGCCGATGCCAGTGTGCCGATAGAAAAAAAAACTTTTGCCGAAAGCGAGTGTCAGCCTTGGCGAACGCTCTTCCGCAATCGTCCCACTCACTCCACATTGACTCGTTGTTGCAAGGTTTTAATATCACGAGCTAATTGGGCGGCGTGGTTTGCTGGAGCAGTCCGACACCGGCGCTTGCATTCCTGTTCGATATTTAGCGTGGCTTGAAAGGCTTCTGGATCATTGGTACGGATTTGCTTCCAGCACTTGACCTGCCCGGCATGTTTTTGTGCCAGGACTGCACCATCTTCGCGGCGAATGCGAGAGCTTTCACGTTTCCACTGTCGGCGCTCTTCTAGAGTTGTCCGTGGCATACACACGTGGAAGGTTTCAGAAAAAAAAAAAACTGATGAACGCCCGCTAGGTGACATGGCTGCGACGGGATGGACGACGTCCCTCACAACGCAGCCAATGGCGTGCGTGCTTGTTGATTACGGTGCTGTGAACGACGTACCTGATAACGCAGCTAAAAGAGACCGCTCATGACACCGCTGCCTGATGGTTGTTCGTTTGTACTAGCCATATACAGCTTTTGCTGTAAAAATCAGAAGCACATCTAGGTGGGAAGCGTTGGCCTTCCCGGGATCTGGCTGCCCTTATCTCTTGAGGTGACTAATAATATTAAAGTCGTAGAGATTTACGCGAACATGTTGTAGCGTAATGGAAGGCACTTGAGAACTCGTCTTCTCGATTGCAGACACAACAGAGCATGTGATTTGTGCAACTCACCTTCAAGGCGAATGCCTTCACTTTCTTGCCCTTCGTGTAGTGAAAAATTCTCTTTCTGCAGTAATACTTCACTCCCACCGTTTCACCGGGAAATTCTCGGTGTTTATCCATGTAATTTCACCTTGGTTAGAACTCTTTTACACTGGGAATTAAGACCCCTGTGGTAAATAAGATTACAGAAAAAGTTATTGTAGATTTGGGCAGTTACCTATGAATTCTTGGCGTACAGCAAAAGTCGGACTAAGGTATACAAATGAATAGTTTGTTTTGCTTAATCTCGATTCTTGTGATCATAATTGTAAGCAGTGTTCATATTGAATAAAAGCTGCATCTAAAATTTTGATCTTCCACACCTATTTTTATGAAAGTGACGTAAAGAAAAATTTAAGGATACCGCGAATTTCGAGATGTGTTCGGCAAAAGCATGTCACCATTGAATGACTATGTCATGTCGACATTGTTGGGGCGCTTCTCCAAACTGCTTGCCGTGGATTCATCAGCGCTAAACCTAGGCGCCATGTGACTATCTCGACTGCAACAACTAAACGTCTGACTAAAAACGAAACTTGGACTGGTTCATGCTTGGGATATAAAAACAGCACAAAAAACGAGACTAAGACTGAAGAAGAGACGACTGGGAGTTGACGTCTCTTTTTCAGTTTTTGTCGCTATTATTGCGCTGTGTTTACATCCCAATCATAGATGTCTGACGATGAAGCATTGCCGCGACTGCCAATGTACCATCAAGAGATTGCTGAGGGAGTGGGAGGGGGAAAGGTCACAGCCAGCACCATTCCGGGGCATGGAGGGATGGATGGTTGAACGCCGCGAGTGTAAGCTATATTAAAGGCTTTTACCCTGATGCATGCGTTATTGTGGGAATAGTGTGACGTAATATTTACGGCGAAAGTGAAGATTACGGAAGGTCATGCCAAAACCAGCATGAAGTCGGTAAAGCGCAGGGAAAGGTTGAGGAAATGCCGCACACCGAATTCTCGAATATCCCTGAACAAGATTATGTTGATGCCGGGGAAACCCCACGTGCTTACCTGAAACACTGGCGTCATTGATACTTTGGCAAAAGGAGGAGTGCAAACTCTACTCATGGTAATCACTGCGTGCACTTGCTGCACGCTTCCTCAAGTTTCACAGCGCAGGAGATGCTATACGTGTTCTTTTTTCTAAGCTTTTGCTTTAGAGGTGACAAGTCTTTTTCTAGCGATGTTAGGCTTTTGCTACATCCAGAAATACGACAGTTCAAACTCGCGTAACGTTTTTCCAAACTTGACCTGCTAATAAATCTACGAGAAAGTTTACTAAGATACTGTTCTTATGGAATCAAGCTTACGTGACAAGACCTTTGCTTATTTATGGTATGCTTCCTATACATCAGTGTAAGGTACACGAACAGTCATGCACACATGTTTCACTTAGGAAGCCCGAATGAGGCACGTATGTTTCGCTGGCTTATTACAATCCACCGAGGAGGAGCTTTGTAGCGTGCGACTGCATCGAGAAAACGTTTCTTTTTCTTGTTTCCCTTCGGATTCTTTCAACCCGTGGACTTTCAGCATTCATAATCATTTCTAAGCCTTAGGCTCGTTTTCTTCACCAGTGATCTACAAGGTTAATGAACATCATTGTGTTTTTCACAACGAAAAAAATACTAAGTTATTCTCGGGCTTACCGATAAACATCTCGTATGCTGTCTTGGCTACACTGGGACAGCCGGTATTTTCTCAGTCCTCCATCCACGTAACTCATCAGGTATCCCTCCCTCCAGGGACACCTTGGGGATGTGTCGTGATCTGAGCCCAATCTGTCACATTATAAGAGAGTAGCCAGTTACTTGCAACAGGTGCTTCGATTTTTCTGCGTCCGCGAAAAAATGCACTTACATGTGCGCTAGTTCATGGGCCACGGTGTTGACTCCCATGTAGGTGGTGGCCGTGTCTTCCGCCACGCCTACTCCATGTGAACTGCAGACAGCGGCCATAAATGCTCGTCCTGAAAATGAAACAAGAAAAAAGAATATTACTTCCACGGAATACCATTTTAGTTAAAAAAATAACCAGGCTGTTTCGTAGAGGCCTACATCACTTGTTTAATAAACTCATGTGCTTGAAAAATTTTGCTCATTTCAGATACGGAATGCAGCTGCAGCTTTTCTCGGGGCAATACAACGTGCAGATGTGGCTAGAAATGCTACAACAGTAAGAAAGCAATGGGATCCTAAATTACACTGAGGTCGGAAATTGTTTATTTCGTGTCTCGAGTGTTTTATAGGATATTTCACATCTTACAGTAATAGAGAAATGGTGACCAAGGTAAAAGGAACAATTATTTTAAATAATGCCTTCAGCTCCCGTACGGGAGCCTTGTTCAGAGTGATAGCAAATGGTGTAGTACGCTATCCTTAAGTGGGGAGTCGAAACGCTTTCAAAAACAGAAGTTCGTTCTACCTTGGTCAGCACATTGTCTTTTATTTCAATATGTTCCTCCCACGCCACACAGCAGTCCGTCTGACTCTCGACTGCTTAACGCATTCTCTTTTAAATGACACAGTAATATCAGTTTACTTGTGGTGTAGGTCACACATTCACCAAGGTTCATTTCTCTTCCCGAGGTCCCTCTCCAAAACTGTTCAGCGTGTCCCTGAGACCAGCAATACAAGTTGTCGCAGCTCATGGCCGTGTAAAGAGAGCCGCACAACCTCCCACTGTTCTAACATGTTCTTCCAGGAGAGGGTTAGCATTTTGTTTCACGCAAAGCTACTGTCAAGTTATTTACTGTACCGACGCACCTGCATTGTAGCGAGTCGCATATGGTGTTTGGAGTAGCAACATTTCTTGTTCTTCATTAGTCATAAGTAACTAAATTTGACCTAAGCACATTTTACGGCGTCTTCACCAGAGAGAAATTCGGCAGCGTGAACATTTGTGGCGACTTGACACTAGTGTTGCCAAGCCTAAAATAGAAGTGCAGCTCGGAGATCTTCCTTGTTTTTCCTTCTTTATCTTCTCTCTGTCTCTTGTATGTATTTGTTGTATCCGTTTCTCTTTATTTCTTCCTTTTTCTCTCCGTCTTTGATTCTCTTTATTTCTGTTTCGGTGTTCTCTGTTTTTCTATCCCGTTTTTGTGTCTATTTCTTTCTAGTTTTTTCTGTAGACTGCACTGTCTGTTCCTGTCTATACAGCTTTCCTTGCACCTGTTTCTCTCTGTCTGCAGTTTTCAGTATTTCCATTTTTCTCGTGAGAGCTACATTAGCGGTATCCTCACCATTTCGCTGTGACTGTTGCCCACACATCTCGTCTAGTCATTAGGGCATGATTTCAGAGGAGGGGCCTGTGAAACCATGTTGTAGCTGCGTTTCCAGTTGAAAGTCAGTGACATGTGTGTGTGTGTGTGTGTGTGTGTGTGTGTGTGTATTTGGGCGTGATCTACAATGTGCGCATTTAGCCACGCTGTTCAAACCTAATGAAGGAGGAACTGACGTTGCATCGTACATATGGAAGCAGGTGCTCTGTGGGATTCATTCGCTGATATGAAAAGTGTGTAGGAGAAACAAAAATAAGCTTGACTTTGTCATCGGACCGAAACCAAGAGATGCTTGTGAGTCGAGGAGACAAAGAGAGAACGAGCCGCATGCCTCGAGAGGCATAACCGTGCATAGAAGAAAGTTAAACAATTGACAGATTTAGCAGCTCTGAAGACGCAACTTGCCGGCTATTTGTTGTGGAAGGGTGGGTCCACAAAGCTGCTGTGGACGCTCATTTAAATCCGTCCAATAAGCTTATCTGTCATTACACAAATCCAGGCATATCTGATTTAAGCCAGAAACAAATTTTCTCGAACTTCTCCTTTTGCGCATCTGCAAATAGACGTTGCACTTACCAGCAATGCCTCTTTCCAGCCGTCCGTTTTGCACCTTTACAAGATCCAGGCTGCAAGATAGGTCTCAACATTAACTGGTAATCGTCTCTCTTTTTTTTTGCATCAAATGCCAAGTATTCCTACACGAACTGTCATGTTTTTCATTTGGTGTCTCCTTTCTGTGTATTTCAAAGTAGTAATTAAACATTCCGAGTTTTGGACATCTTCACATGGTGCACTCTATTGGTAGTCAGAACATCATCTTGCCATTACTCAGTGGAAAATAGGCGAGAAAAATCGTATATTGTGAAAGAAAGTTATTTGTGAATAACAAGTTCGGGCTCTCTACAAGAGACCCACAGACGCATTTTGGTGAAATTGCAGTATAACACTACAAGGCGTGTGGCTTTTGAAGACAATTGAACACAACGCATTAGTAACAGATGGGGCCTGGCTGTAAAATGTAGAGCACTCTGGGAAATGGTGGGCGCTGTAACACGACACTTTATTTCTAATAGAGTTCAAATAGGTCTCTGCTCTATGGAACCAGCAATCAGTTTTGATAACTAACATTTTCGTAAGATATGACTTCTTTCGCCTATTTCCCTTCTGTTCTGGCAGGCCACCACTGTCCCCGACGGTTGTCCCGAAACTCTGGTCATGTTATTTTCCTATTTACTTCAGAAATAGCCTACACTTTCCTATAGGTACACAGGAGGAACCTCCGGCACTAGTGTCTATACGAACGGGAGCACACGGCGCTTGAGCGGGCATGGGAACGATGGGCAGAACAGAAATTTTTCCAATAATCATACTTTCGGTTTCGATTGAAATTACATGATTTGGTGCTGCTTTGTCACAAAACGGCAATCAGCAAATGTTCAGCTATTTTACTTCACCACCCCAACCATTTAGGCTCGCGAATTCAAATCGGGTCACGAAGTTCACAGGGGTGCCTTCTTTTATTCAAAACAAAACCAGAACACAGACATAAACAAAGCTACAAGTGCGTTCAAAGTCCGCAAGTATGAAGAGCGGGCAAAGTTGTGTTATACGCATTCTTCCCATAGTCGCTGAACAATCGCAGCACCAAATTTTTGTCTAGTTGACTTTAGGAAACTCTACGGGAAATAGTGGCCAGCTTACGCAGGTAAACGTAGACAGATTTCACTCCACGGTCTCGAGCACCGTCGATATTACGAGAGATAACGCGAGCGAGAGGGTGCACCATGCCACTCTTCACTTCGGTCAGTCTGTCAGCGAGCCTGTGAAGGCTGTTTCAAGGAATGGATGATACTTTTTAATGGTCCATACGTTGCACCCGGCGTAAATAAATTACTCTCTGAGTAAGGCTCAAGGATGACCATTGTCATGGACGACCGCCGTAAATAAATGCACAAGAAGAGCCATTACAAAGTGTTTGTTTGTCCGATACAGAACTCAAGTAATGGTAGGACAAGAAGTGCGTTTGTGCTTTGTGACCACTTTTCCCTGGTCCTTATCTGCTGTGCTCCTATTTCATTTCATTTTTGTATTGATAAAATTGTGTTTTATCTAACAAGACAATAAAGAGTAAGTGTGCACAGTACAGCTTCAATACTATCTATCTATCTATCTATCTATCTATCTATCTATCTATCTATCTATCTATCTATCTATCTATCTATCTATCTATCTATCTATCTATCTATCTATCTATCTATCTATCTATCTATCTATCTATCTATCTATCTATCTATCTATCTATCTATCTATCTATCTATCTATCTATCTATCTATCTATCTATCTATCTGTCTGTCTGTCTGTCTGTCTGTCTGTCTGTCTGTCTGTCTGTCTGTCTGTCTGTCTGTCTGTCCGTCCGTCCGTCCGTCCGTCCGTCCGTCCGTCCGTCCGTCCGTCCGTCCGTCCATCCATCCATCCATCCATCCATCCATCCATCCATCCATCCATCCATCCATCCATCCATCCATCTATCTATCTATCTATCTATCTATCTATCTATCTATCTATCTATCTATCTATCTATCTATCTATCTATCTATCTATCTTATCTATCTATCTATCTATGTATGTATGTATGTATGTATGTATGTATGTATGTATGTATGTATGTATGTATGTATGTATGTATGTATGTATGTATGTATGTATGTATGTATGTATGTATGTATGTATGTACGTACGTACGTACGTACGTATGTATGTATGTATGTATGTATGTATGTATGTATGTATGTATGTATGTATGTATGTATGTATGTATGTATGTATCTAGTTAACAGGAAGACTGGCATGATGCAGCTAGCAGTTTCCAAAATTTAAACGGTGTTTTCGCATTTCATGAATTCTATATAATATAATTTCCCCAAGAATGGTGCGATTCAGAGGGCAAGCGGTTAGCATGGCCACGAGCTGCATAAAAAAGATGCCCTGAAACTTGTGCAGTTTTTCTTACCCGGTCACAAGAAGCAGGGCATCATGCTTGCCTGGTACCCTTTTTTCAGCTTCATAAGCTTGCAACCGGTTAAGCGTTTCGGTTGTGTCAGTTGTACCGTGATTGTCTGGAGCGAAAGGGTTTTCCTATTCAGAAGAAAACCGGAAAAAAAGACAAATTAGTCATGTTTGGGCCGTGTTCTCCAGTACATTTTTCTTTCATCAGCTGCACTTGCTCTTCATTTCCTGGAGTTGCCCACTCTGATGAAGTTACAATTGTGCACAATTTACGAATAAAATACACGGACATAAAGCCGTGACATGCCTCCACGAAACAAATCATCGACTATGTTTAATATGCAAAAATTTTAATTTCCGTATATAATTTTGTGCCTATATGTTTTAACAATCTAATATTGTTAAACTGTCAGAAAAAATGCCGATTATTTTGTCCTCGTTAGTAAACTGTAAGGTTGAAGCGAAGGCATGGACACAGTACCTGAGTTCCTATCTCTCGAAAATCACTAGGTGTTAATGACACCAGAATTGCAACAAGTAATGTTTATGCTTTTGTGCAAGTTCCAAACGTTAGGTACATATGCTTAAGTTTTGCTGTCGGAACATGCAACAACGCATGGAAATTAAAGCCGTCACCGAAGCAGCCGAAGCCATTTTATTATCCTGTATTTCGATAAAAAATGTGCAATAGATCGCATTTTGCGTGATTGTGTGCAGCATGTAGTGACACCTTTTTGTGTGTGTGTGTCTTATCGAATGTAATTGTACTTGAGTGCCTTTCTCACCTTTCTCCTTGTTATGCCGACGAGAAGAAATCGCACTTTTGGATTCCTGATGTCAAGGTAGCGTAAGTTTGCCTAGAATATGGCATTGAGAAGCATAGTAAAAGGCGATTAATTTCGAGTTTGTGGAAACGAGCAAGTCATGAAAATTGTAGGAGCACAATGACTTCCATTAAATTTACTGCTGAAGCTCATCTTTCATATCTTTATATTACGCTACCCTCATCCTCACTGGAGGGCAACCAACCAGAAGTCTCCCTGGTTAACCTTCCTGTCTTTTTCACTTCTCTCTGCTTCCTTCCCTGGTGAATCTATCCCAACAGAATGCTTCATGCCTTGAACTCTCACTTGTGTGAACGTCGACGTAACAAATATTTCACAATTACAAATTAAAAAAAATGATATGACATGCTCCTTTGAATTCAAAGACAAAAGATTCAGTCAAACGAACTTCTGAGCAGTGCATATTTCAGTTACACAAACTTGACATGCCGAGCTCGGCTTGTTTTTGGTCAATACAATGAAATTTAGTGCTTTGAAGCGTTAGCGTAGCTGATGTGTAGGCGGCGGTGCAACATCACTTGCGCATACAGCGCCACCGAGACAAAGCGACCGTGCGGGAGACGAAAACGGGCCACCTGCATTTCAGTACCTGCACAGATCTATCGATTTGGAATTTTTTCCCAAGTGTTTGCCCGACACCGAAACAATAATAGTGCAAGAATGAAATTTTAATGGCGAGTCAGGTTTAAATCCTGTACCTCTAGCTGAGGCAGTAGGATATATGAGAAAGTTGCGAGCCTTCGTGTAACAGCAACAAGCTCTGACGCGAAGTGAATAAAATGACACGAAACGTCACAAGCTGTGGCACTAAATGAATAAAAATGTAGTGGAAAGATAGAAAAGAAAAGAGCATGATTGAAGAAGAAAACCAAAGGGCTACAAAAAAAAAAAACGCTGAAAGACTGCACTTTCTTCTGGCTTGACACCCATAGTGCAAAGCCACCTTAATTTTATTGTTTTATTCAATTTCATTTTATTATTGCTGTCTATTATATGTTTCCTTACATTTAGTAGTAAGCATGACCAGTGCATTTTGGTATGAAACAAAATAAGCACTCAGGATGGAAGTGATTTTATTCCTATGGTCATAACCAAGACTGCATGGTTTTCAGTATAATAGAGGGGTGTAAAAACAAAGACATTAGTGATAACAGATCTATATGAAACTTGAATGCGTCCGTTTGAACAGAAGGGGCAAGAGCAGAAAGTTACAAATTAAGTGAGACTGCAACACAAAATGAAGCTGTATTTGATAAAAAAGGAAAAAAAAATGCAGATGAGCGAGCACTTTTGAGAAAAAGCGTTCACTTACCGCATTCATGAAGACTGCCATGTAGCCTATTAAATCCTCGTTTTTGTCAAAGTTACTTTGGTGCTTCCTGTCACAGATAATGTGAAGCTCAACTTCAAATTCTTCTCTGTTGCGTCTCTCTTCTACTCTCCGGCTGTTGATGCCTAAAACGACACGCCAGGTTCATCAGTATATTGTACCGTGTAGCATATGCCCCATCTTCATTTAGAAATGCAACGTGTAGTTTACACATAATTCTGCTCAGACTAAAATTCACGTGGTCCTCTACACATTCAGCTAGGACCCCTCCCTTGTCATCCTCCTCCCTTCTTAGGTAAGGAAAGCTTTGTGCTCCTAGGGTGCTTTTGCACGGTTTTCGAGATTGGAGGTGTTGGAAGCATCCTGTCTTTTACGTTGTATAGTGACCCTTCCCGTGTCACCCTTTGACCATAGCTTCTCAGTAGTTTGTCTGGCCCCGAAACTTCCGCCTCAGTTTAGTATAGAACTAGCGGTAGCAGCCAGGGGAGCTAGAGTGAAACAAACGCTACGTAGTGCAGTGGTCATCGCAGGTGGCGTTGTATTTTTCTTTCTCTAGTACGTCGCTGTTCACAAATAGAGCCGCTCCTTTTGTACAATATTTGCATTGTACTTATTCATACGGAAGACAAGGCGCATACAAAAAGTAAGCAATTCCGAACACTGTCGATGGCTCAATGTGCCAACAGACAACGTGTGTACGCCTACTTCTTACAGTGATATTTGTCTTTAGTTGATTTAACTGGCCTACAAAAAGAGACGTCAGTGTGATGCGCTGTACAGAGAAGTGTATTGAAGTGTATGCATGACCGCAGGCGTAGGACCAGAGGCGCCACGGCAGGGATACGATCCCGCAGCATGCGGGTCAGCATCCGAGGGCCTTGGCCACTAGGCCTTCATGCAGGGAGACAATAAGCCCTACATCTGCAAAGACACTTTTCATTTTCGTGTTATATCGATTTCTGTGAAGGAGGGGATAAGCCATGTTTTTTTTTTAATTTCTAATCGCACTTATATTTAGAGGCGAAGCTCCATAAGGTCGAGGCTTGTGCGTTAATGTGCGTCGTAGCCATGGATGATGACGGTGACATCGACGGCAATGGAGATGATGATGATGATGATGATGGTGATGATGATCACGGACAACGACTGATTTGTGTGTCTCAGTGTGTTCTACGATGCGTTTCGTATGACTGGAAATAACCAACATCTACCAGGGGAGTGCGTATAGACCTTCTATTTGCCAACCTGTGGCTTGATACGACACGACAAAGCAGTAATAATAAAGGCGAAACAAAATTCACAACTGAACACATTATGCCATTAATGTACACTGCTTTGTCACTCATTTGCGCACGTAAATGGGTCAATGTCACGGGTTATTGACGGTAACAATAAACAATCTCACTGCTTTGCCCACTCATCATCGTTCAGTTCATTGATATGTCATGTTTTTTCGACGTCATTTCCATGACAGAAATACCTTACTGAAACTTTAGTGGACACAGACATTGGACTACATCATCTTAAGCGGTTTTCTGTAGCTGGCTTCCCTACAGTAGTCGACGCAAAAGGAGACGAACATGCTGGGATGGGCGTGAGCAGCCAGCCAGCGTGTATAAATATAAATAAAAGTCTTCCATTAGCTGTTTAGGTGATGGTGTCAACCATAACTTGTAGTTGCGGTGCTTGTTTGATGTCAATAATGACTGTTGTCATAGCGTTGACTGACACCACAGACCTTTGTAAGCGAATGCTACTTACGATGTGGCCGTCCATTCATCTTAGCATGCACTTTTATTTGATAAAGAAAAGCGCGGCTGACAAAAAAAAAAAAAAAACAACGTATGTTTTCAGTGTTGTTCACACATTCCGAGAGCCCGGGAGATCTCGTTATGGTTGCCACGGCTGGATTCTCGCCATTGCGCTAACATACGACAACTTGTCACGCGTGGTAACTTGAGCGTGTTTTCGGGCTAGCGTCACCGTAGCTGAAGCCTAGGTGGTAGGTATGAATAGACGTTGAATGAGTAGCATGGATCACTTGATTGCTAGACACAACCGAATGCAGCCAATGCACAGAGATACGAAACTAAGCAGAGGGCACATGGCGTGTCATTGAAATTATGATATGTCTAGTGCAGATCTTACGTACGTGTACGAGGATCTGAATGGCGTAAGATCGAAAGGCGCACTTACCTTTGGGCTCGGCGCTAGGGTTCTGATCAACATTGGCTTCAATGTGAGATTTGCGAGGCTTTTCTTCTGAAAAGGAAAAGAACGAAAGAGATGCATAGAGTACCAATGTGTTGTCCTATTGTAACTTCGCAAATACGGGGGGTAATACAATGTTGCTTGCATGAAGTGTTGTAATTTGAAGCTAATTACTGCTAATAACTTTGGTGCTCCTGTATGCAGGACATTACAGTTTTACATAGTCTCGCTGCGTCATTTGCTAGGTCTGGCAGTAAACAGTCGCGAAAAGTTATTTTCAGTCACTAGTAGCACTGTCCTCAAATGTTTTTTTTTTATTAATCAACACCCATTCAATAACGCAATGTCCTCCCGTCCAGTGATTTTCGGGAACCTGTGTTTTTTCGCAAAATCAATAAGTAGATAATCCGAAAATATTTGGTGAAGAAATTTTCTAAATGTTTTTGTTTTCTACGATACACAACGTTTTACTTAGAGGAGGCATGTTGCTTTGTTCCGTATAACGTACGTGCTTAATTAGAAGCCTCTTAGATTACAGTTCGGAATTTCTTGAAGAACTTTTATTTGAGGTTTGTGAAACATTCATCCCGAGTCCCAAATTGAGCATCCAACTTACCCGCTATAAAGGAGCCCTCGTCCATATTATTCACTTCGTATATTTTGTGCAGAATCTGGCCTTTCATTGACCTCTCGCCTTCTAATACAGGCTTGATCCTCAGTTTGTCGTTTTATTATGCCTTCCTATAAGTACAGGAGCCAAACAGTTGAAAAACAAGCTTGCTGGTACAAGTATATATAAATGTACCACCGTAGTTGCTACAATGCCGTGCCCAGCACAATAAAAACGACACTCCAGGCAATGCCAGAGTTTCTAGGCAGCCAACCGTACGAAGATCTTGGGGCACTTTCGTAAACGCTTGCACTACAAGCGAACTATCTTAATTTGCTTGCGCATGTTTTTCAAAAACATCATTGATTCCTTAGTTTTATTAACTAAATGTCCTTATGCATGCGTGTTGCTACACATCTTAACGCTGTAATTCTCTGTACAGCTCTTTTTTTGCACATTTACTACGTAGATGTTCAAGACTTTTCGGACAAAAATTGAATGTTTGTGAGGTTTAACTTCGCTCTGTCATCCAAATGGGCCCATTACTCGGACTTTATAGTGCTTCTGACACGCTGCGCTCATGCCATATGAAAATCTCAGGTACTGCGTCTTCAACTGTGGCGTCTCTTATCATAGCCGGGCTTACTTTGAAACGTTAAACCCAGAAACCAACTAATCAAAGTACAAAAGGACGTGCTCATGGCACAGCAATAATCTTTGACGATGAAGTTGACTGTCTTGTGGGCCCTTTGTGAGCAAATACTTCTTTATAATAATCAACCAATGCTATCGAAAAATTTGAAGAGCTATTATCAGTGATATTATTAAAAAACTTACAACTTGTACTGCGTCATCTCGCTGCTGAACACGAACGGAGGACTGGTAGTGTGTGTCGTGATACAAAGTTTTCTGTATAGCCGATGTGTCTATCTGAAAAGTTAAAGCATTATCGTGAGATTTCTTGGCAATCAGTGATACTAGAAATGTCGATGTGTGGTATTTTATTTCTGTTATCAAATTTAACATTAATTTTGCTTTTGGCGTTAGAGTGTGTAGCGTTATCAAGGCTTGCCCTCAAACTCTGACTGCTGTGCCATCTACATTCACTTAGACATAAGCTAGAAAGCCGCAACTTTTATAATGCTTCTAGTAGTTGCGAACGATTCTAAGGCCTGAATCAAAGTTACTGCAAACTCATATCTGTGACGTGTGCAGTCAAGATAGCTGCCTCGTAGGATAAGTCAGTAGATAGGCAAAGATGTGTTGTAGACTTGTAAGTACAAGAATTGCAAGAGATCAGCGAGAGCCTTAATTCACTTCTGCATTGGTAGGGCTGTGACTTGCCTACAAAATCGGCAGTTCAGCGTGATTTTAACGGGCCATTAGGAGGCGTCATTAGGAAATTGCCATGAGATAATGCACACTCACTTCCTCTAGATGGTTGACTTCATCACTGGTAGTAACAAAGAGAAGTTTGTCTGCAAGTACGGAGCTTCTTTGAAGATTCAATGTGAACTTGTCATTCAGTCGCAGAACTAAGTTTCTTTCGGTTGATCTCTCTTGCAAAATAGTCGGATAGACAAATACATCCTTCTCTGTGTCAAAAAGAATAAAGAAAAAAAAAAACTTTGGTTAACCAAGAGGCTCCCAGAACAAAAAACATAATGTGTGATTAAGATACAATGTCTACGTTAAATTTTAGTTCCAGAAATTCAATGACAGGCATACTTCTTGCTCGTTAATTCATTAGCTCTTGATTGCCATTTAATTTAGAAATGATGACGTCATATGATGTGGTGATGTCACCCTATACTTCGCATTTATCAATCATAAGGGTGCTATGATAATATTTCTCCATAACATTTTTGTTTACCTCATTTGGTTAAATGTTTCCTACTCGCTATAATATATGTTGCCATGCACTTTCACTGTTCACAAACAGTGCGAAATGCAGAAAACATCTGTGGTTAATACAACAGTATGACGAGAAGCCATTCTGGTGTGTTTTCGCATTTGTCATTTTTACTTATATTTATCTTCGGTATTGACAAAGCCGTGCCAACTCCTCTAACTCTATCTGTTCACCGTACTTGAAATATTATGTACTTCTGAAAGAACCACTTCGTCCTCATTTTGTCATGCCTCTCGATCTCACGCACTGACTAGTTTGGGCTTTCGCAGCTGTGCATAGGATAAATACTAACGAATTTTGACTACTAGAAACCACTTCAAGATTAAGCACTTTAGAACAAGAGCACGAATATGAGCGCCAAATAGAGGTTGACGCGAACACAATAGGTCAGCCGCAATTTCTCCGTAATTAATGAAATGAAATAGTCCATTCAAACAGGAAAGTACAAAAAAAGTGGCGTTTACGTTGTGACATAAAAGGCACATAAGAACAGCAAGACACCTGATAAACAGATGAGTAAAAGACTCTACTTAGGCAAAAGTTTACGAATATGTCAATACATTTGAAGATCTGTAATAAAGAAAATTAATAGTGACTTTAGTAGTAACAGTTCCTTGGGTTCCAAAGGCTTATTATAATTAAAAAAATATGGCGCGAGTATTTGGTCCACCCTTTCCCGAAGTAAAGTGATGCCCGAGAAAAGTTACTGAAGTACAAAAAGTTTAATTTACCTGCGTCAGTGTAGAGGGCGAATTGCAATATGATAATGAAAACCCGCATTATTTTCCCCTTTTCTTTGGCTGAAGGTGCTATGTCTGGTGATGATGGCGTCCTGCTCTGTCGATACTTTGCCTGTCCATTTTATACGAAGCTCGTTTCAGCTGCCCCTGCATCGTACAGTGTGGTGGCCCTGCACTTTGGCGAACGTTGGCCTGCGCTTGACGACGGCCTGAGATTGGTCGTCCCGCAGTGATGTAGCATCAGGAATTAAAGCAAAATTATAGCATATGGCTGCTTGATGCTATTATCTGAATCAGAAAAAAAAAACAGTGCATGGCAGGCGGTGTGGCTCAAGATTCACAGATGTGTTAATTTTCACAGATGACTTTTGGACAACACAATGCATTGATATTTCACGCCGGTACACAATGGTGTGCAATCGCTGTGGTGTCCGTTCTCCGCCTTAGTCGTTCTTTTTTTGCTGGCAATTTTTTCGCTTGCCTGAATTGTGCTCTGTGTTATCTGTGTGCATATATAGATCTGGATAACAACCAGCCCACCACACTGAATAACGTGCGTGACAACTTGTATTCAGTATTAGCCTTGGAAATGTTTTTATTCTAATAATATTATCTGGGGTTTAACAAATAAGAATCACAATATGATTATGAGAGATGCCTTACTGGAGGGCACCATAAATTGCGACGAACACCTGGGGTTCTTTACGTACACTGAAATATAAGCACACGGCCTCAAAAATTTTCGCCTCCTTTGAAAATGTAGCCACCACAGCCGGTATGTGTCCCCGTGACCTTCGGGTTAGCTGTCAAGCACTATAGATCATCGCGGTGGGACATTTTAATTCTACAAATATAATAAAGCTCTTACTATAAGCAGCTGGTTATTTATTTAAACGATCGATTTCTTTCTTACACGTCTACTCACTGTAGCAATACAATGCTACCTTTGTTACAGTGCCCTCAGTAAACCAAAAAGTTACAATTAGTGTCATCTGTCTGATGTTTTACAAGCGGCTCTTTTGCCCGAGCTCTTAAAGAAGCTCTTTAGCCCGAACGCATCTTGTGCCTCTTAATCAGAGTGAAATACAAGGTGACCCTTGCGATGTGTCCATTACCCTTTATTTCGAGTTTAGCTTTCGAACCTGTTTCAATTTTTCTGGATCACGACTCTTACCCCCGTATTCTAGACCGTCCCTTCACTCAACGCTTCACCTTCACTTGAGGAAGCCGATGGGAGCGCCATCTCTAGGCACGGCAAGTCACTGCATATCAGCGATAATCATCTGTGATTATCGAGTAGCGCAGCGTCATTTTGAGCCGAGCTGTGGCGCACTGCTCAACTCTGTCAAGTCAAGAGTGAAAGTCGAGCCGAGGAGCGTTTGTGAATACGGGAGTTACAGGCTTGTGTGGTCTATGCAAGAAAGCAGGGTAGTGATCCTTGATAAAAATAGCCCTATGTATTTAAACATAGTGTTAACCACTGTGTTTCAACCAAACAACTTGGGCACCAAGCATTCTTGGCAGTGTTTCAAGGAGAGTAGCATTCCTTTCCAAATATAGGAGGCCTGTAAATAAAGTTTGCCCTGAAGTGAGTGGTGCTTCAGGGTGAAAACTGCAATACTTGTTTACGGTAGGCCTTACTAGGAGGTTTTTTATAACTTTCAGAATCAGAGAAAAGGGAACACCAATTTGAATCTAAATTAAACAAAGAAGTGTCTGTTTTCTAACCTTATCAAAATTTGGTCACTGTAGGTGCGACCTTAAACTTAGAAGCTCCACGTTAAAACCAGCAGAAGTTCACCTTGCAGTAAATGTCACGTCTTTGAGCCCCAAGTAGAGTGTCTAGCCTGCTGTAGGTATTGGCCGTGAATAAAGCTCTTATGTCATGTCTGAAATATCAGACCATGTTATTGTATCATCGATTCTGTTGTGTCAGGACGCGTAGAGCAGCTTCTGCAGAATAAAAACCCACCTTCTGCGTTTCTGTCAACTCAATCAGACAGCACGGAGGCCTGTTTTAGCTATGAAAAGGACAGGAATAGAATACAAGCGCAATGACAGCCTATTCTCAGCCCATTGCTGTTTTCCTTTCTGGCCAAAAACGGCGACCTCAGTGCACCTAGGCAGAAATAGAACATGGAGAGCAAGGTGCTAGTGCCATTGAGCGTGACATTTTGTGTGGCACTCCGCTGGATGCAAAAGGTGCTCTCGTAACGTCATCTTTTAACTCCCACTCAGGCGATATGACAGTCTACTGCTACCACGGGGTTTATCGTGCAATGATATTGTTATGAAGAAAAGGAGTGAAAGTTTTATGACTTGTTTTTTTTTGTTAGACACAATATTGCTGAGAGCAGATAGTGATGTCAAAGTGATGCTATTTGTAATGGTTATGATATAGGAGCAAAAAAGTGGATGAAAAAAAAAACTAGCCACAGCCTAATTCACTTGACATCAGTTTAAAGATTGTTTATTAAGTTCCAGCAGCGTACATCACGAAAAAAAAAAAACTTCTCCACGTCTGGTGCTTCGAGAGAACTAAACGAATACAATGGGCTTTGACCACTTTCTTATAAAAAAAAGCTCGTTTTGCGATATAGAAATTTCAGAAAATATTCTATTTTTTCTGAACCCTTACGTCTGTTCGTGTATTACACACCAGCTGAGCACAATGAATACCTCAAGAATGCACCCTGCGAGCGCTTCGTCAGCGATAACATTTCAGGAACAAGCTGGCAAATAACCACGCGGGTTGTTCCCAGTGTGAGAAAATTATGCTGTCACAGCTAGTGCTTTTATAAAGAACAATTTATGCCTTCTTCTGATTTTTCACGAAAACAACGTACCTGTACTGCTGAAATCAGTCAGCAGCCACTCCGATATGGCGTACAAGCTACTTATGTCGCTCATACGACAGTGAAGAGAAAAAGTATTTTGTGTCAAATTCGTACATGTTTTTGGTTCCAATTGCAGTTTCAAAGGTGTCGACAAGACTTCCAGGTCCAATAATGCTCAGAGTTGACGAACAGTTAAATCAGCTTACCGTACTGCAGACGGTGCTTTAAACCAACAAATAATTACTATGTCCAGGTTCTCCTTGATGTTAATATATTTGAAGTGGAGCAAGATGTCACTACTGCGCGAACTGTGTACTGCAGGTGCAATAGTCAAGCGTTAGAGGGCGGCTTCACGCCCAGTGTATTGCCGCTTGACACGGGACGCCTTGTAATCCAAGGGAGGAGGGATTGAACAGGCAAAATATTTGCGGAAAAGAGATGAACAGGTCAAGTTTGCGAAAATACAAGCTTTTGGTCAGTGAAAACCCGAGAACAAAACCGGCAGGCCTGTGTGGAACGGGCAGCACATTCACAGCGAAATCTGGGAAAGTGGCATTTTTTTTACACTCTTGCAGCAACTGCTAACTTTCATGGTGCCCAGTATGCCGTAACTCTTATTGCAGTGCTGGCAATTTGATCTTATAAAGCTTACATATGTACTCCTTTGATACAGCTGTCACGTCATGTTAACGTCGATTGTATTATGGCACCGTGTGCTGGAGTTGATTTATGTAGAATTCTCCAGGGCTACCGTTCTCGCGAACACCAGCACATCATATCAGCCTACCGCTTCTGGTGTTGCTAATACTCATGTTCCTGTTGGCATTGTTAGGCAAGTGCAAACTGGTTATATAAACATCTCTAATTCTGTGCGCGCAGCGTTTATGCATATATGTATAACGGCATTTCATGGCACGTCACCCCCCCAAAAAAAAGTTACAACATGGTCACCTTCCCTCCGCATGCTTCGCATCACGTTCGATTCCAGAGGTACGAGGAATCTACTGGCTTTTTTTGTTTATTTAGTTTTTTCTTACTTCGCGCGACAGTACTTGCAGAATTGGCGGCGGCATGCTGTGGCCAACTATACGGTGCCAAAATCGGACCTTGCTGTCATTTCGTGAGAGCTTTTGCCGCAAAGTACAAGGTCCGCCCCCGAAACCACGGCACGCCCGCGATTCACTACTGCAAGAGTCGTACTAGACGGTTATCGTTGTAATCATAAATACTTTTGTCTGCTAATGTGAATACATGTGACTAATCACACACTACACATACAAGACATGTTAATCAATGAAGAGCTTGTGGCCTCTACCTACCACATGCCATTTCCGCAAGGAGTGATGTCTGAGTGTTTGCTGAGATGGGCTAGAAAGTTTTTGAGCAGAAAAAGAGCTTAATGTACACGCGTTTACGTGGAAAGATCGTCTACCTTATGTGCCCCCACTCCACCCCTGCATTGCTTTTTGACTGAGGTATCGTCTTTCGCAGCCCATGGACGTCGAAGGTCAGCACGTAAAAGTAGGGAAAAAAAAAACAAAGTTCCAGAGCACTGTCCGATAACTATAGGAAACAGCCAGTGAAAGTGACAGTTCTGTCTTGGGAATCTCATGTGAGCTTAGTGCAAGCAAAATTAGCTCGAATAACTCTTGAAATGTGCCAAACATGCCTGATGTACCAAAATTGAGCAAATATTATCGAATTAGTCATCTATGCAAACTTTTAAATGCGAAGCATTTCCTCGCGTATACGGCGAACACTTTTGTCGTCTGTCCATCTATCTATCTAGCCGCTTACGTCCGGGTGCTCTCCTTCTTAACTTGGCGTGAACCAAAATTAGTATGGGAGGTTGAAATGGTTGCACGAATATAACGCTCTGGTCTAGACACGAAGAATGTCACAACGCCATCGCATCGACAGTCACAAGTCTACAATACACACTCCGAGAAGTAGTCAATAGACATCCCTACTGAAAATCCTGGGTTGGTGGATGCTGGTATCGTTGGTGGATATGGTGAAAATATTACTCGGTATGATGGAAATAATAGTGGATGTGGTGGAAGCTGCAGTGGTCAAAATGACTGTGACGCTGTGAGTGGAAAATATGGTGGCGGATGGTGGTGGCGAACCAATGGTGGTGCCAGCGGAAAATGCGGGCTGATGATGGCCACAATGGAAAAAATGGTGGCAGGTGGTGGTGGTGGTGGCAAGCCGATGGTGGTGATGTTGAAAAATGGCGGCTGATGATGGCGATTCGAAAATGTGCTTGGTGGATGGCTTGGTTAACAAGCGGGGTGACGGTGATATCATGGAAGCTTGGTGGATGATGGTGGTATGATTAAAAAGCAAAAGGCAGTGTGTGAAATCTCTTAATTATTCGTAGTTTTTCACTCTGGAATGAGCAGAGAAATGTTAACGGTTGAAAGAAACTAATGCCGCTCAATACGCTTTCTAGCATGTTTTTTTTCTGTGGTGCCAACAACGCTTGAACTTTTGTGGAGCGTGGATTGAGGCCGTGATTGTCTACATTTCGTGCACGTATACATCAGCTTGACATGCGCGATGTGGTGCTGTGTTGTGAAGTTTAGAAGACTAGAGGTGTCACTGTGAACAGCGACAGTAAATGTGTTACATCGCCGCGCAGTTGTCGAGACATAAATGAGGTCCAGTTCGCAATTACCCCTCTCAACGGTAGACCAGTATAGGGCGGTCGCTTGAAGTCGCCAAGCTAGAAACGCAACTCTAGCAATTCTCGGAGATCCAATTACTTGAGCCATACTTTTAGGGTAATGAACTTTGTGCGACACTAAGATGCATAACCTTCTACCTTCGACATACGTCGAGACGAGTCCCAGCTAGTTTGACTTTCATTCTTATGTTCTACCACCATGATTTCCACCAAAGGTTAGGCCGACCGACCGAGCCCGTACAACTGTGATAGATGCTTTTGTGTTTTAGAATACACGATTTCGTTGAGTAAGAGCCACAATACAGCACAGCCGTGGCATCGTTTAACCTAAATGAAACATATTTTTTTGTAGTGTACGAAGTCCGCGGAAGAAGTGACAAACATCAATGCGAAGCGGTGCCAGCACTTCCAGCAGCGTACGCCTCCCGTGATTGACAGCCGCTGGTCGCACTCGCCGGCACTTCTCTGGTTTTTGTGCGAGAACACAGACTTGTCCAATCGTATGCTTACTGAACCAATATAATAGCATAATGTTTCCTACGCAATGCATTCGTTTTGGCCAAGTTGTTATGCAGTTGTTGTTAACGATAGAGCTACAGCACTGCGCTGGCACAACTCTGCTGTATACGTTGCACTGAAAAAAATCGCATTACAATGTCACTTGTGTGGGCGTATCTATCAAATGAGCCTAGAAACTTCATTAAGCCTGAGCAGATGTCACCCTTTTGTACGAGCAAGAAACGGATAAAAAACTTGACAGTGACCACCGGTAAATTGTACGTGGTCCTCAGTCCACTTGGTTTTTTTTCTTGCGACTGTGAATTGCAACAAAAACATAGCGCGGTTGCCCTTATCGCAGTGGAAATCGTTCAAGGCAGCAGTTGTTTGTGCTTAATGAATGTGCCAGTTTTAGTAGCAGGTGCAGATTCCCTCTATCTGGAGTAAGCAACAAACAAAACTGAAGTTGAACAGTCACATCGTTAATTCAATTGCGACTTAACAACGAACTACCCACAAATCGACCTGGCGCAGTGGTTTTGCTTGTTCAGCTCAAAATCTTAAGGCTGAACGTTCGAGTCCTCGAGGTGAAGTTTTTTTTACGGGGTACTATCTGCATTGTTTTTTATACAATTATTCCTTTCATATTTTCAGTGGCAGCTTGTCATGGTGGTTCTGACGCCGTTTCGCGCTCCAGCATTGCGGGCACTCCGTCATCCACCACGTGCCACCATCCACCATGTGCCACCAGTATTGCCAGCACCATACTCCACCAAAATGGTGGATGGAGGAATCCACCATTCCTATTATGGACGTTTTTTTTCAGTAGGGATGCTGAGTTATCTCATTGTTCTTTGTGTTGTTGTATGAGGTAAACTTTCCACATTTTTTTGTTGGGGAAGGACACGAGGAGAAACGCAGCTAATTTTTCAATTGTTTATTAATGATGTCTGTCTCGGTAATACGTAGGATGCGGTGCTTGGTTGCTGAAGTGAAAGACATGGCTTGGATTCCTCTTGGAGCGGTCGCACTTCGATGGAGGTGAAACGGAAGGGGTCAACGCGTTGTGCGATGTCGCTGCAGGTTAAGAAATCCCAGATGAATGAAATTCCCGAAGTGCTCCATTACAGCGTACCTTATAATGGCATCGTGGCTTTCGATCACAAAACAGAGAGACTGAAATATTGTCATGGATATCATTCGTAGTAGTACAACTATCATTGTAGTTGCCGTTGTCATTGTATTGCTACAAGACCGCATAACCCAGGAGACGATGCGTTTCCACCACATGCTCTGAAGCATGAGAAAGAACAAAGTTCACGGACGATCACGATACACTGCCTAATGTGCTTTCTGAGCGCAGTGTTGTGTTGGGACGGACTACGTTTGAAATTTCCGCTTTCGGCAAGGTTTCGACTACACCATAGGTCATAATTTTCATAGAGCAAAGACAGCACTCACTAAATCATTAGTTGCCTTTCTGTAGATAAGCGATGCCCTCGTTACACATCTGAAATGTATTACGTGCGTTTTGTTTGATGCTGCGTATGGCTGATGACGACGACAGATTATGGGATCGCACTTTGATGTGCTCCGCCGTAATTCCTGACCATTCCCCCCAGAGTGGGTGTAAGCCATACATATAGGTCACCACTACCACCACGACCATAATCATCATAATCATCATTATCACTCTGAAGTGGATAAGGATTATTAGGCCACACTCCAATTGGACTGTTACCTTGCTGTGACGACTGGTCTTTATTTTACACTTTTGCCACGCCATATAACACAGTACAAGGTACTTCTTATCACAGCATAAGATCGGTGTAAGATCTTTTTGCAAACGAGTTTGAAGCAGCGGCATAGCTGTGTGGTGGAATATTCGACGACCCTTTCTGAAATATGATTGATTGATTGATTTGTGGGGTTTAACGTCCCAAAACCACCATTTGATTATGAGAGATGCCGTAGTGGAGGGCTCCGGAAATTTTGACCACCTGGGGTTCTTTAACGTGCACCCAAATCTGAATACACGGGCCTACAACATTTCCGCTTGCATCGGAAATGCAGCCGCCGCAGCCGGGAATTGAACCCGCGACCTGCGGGTCAGCAGCCGAGTACCTTAGCCACTAGACCACCACGGCGGGGCCTTTCTGAAATACCACTCGATCTTAGGTATATTTATATTTTTTGTCATCCCATTTTTCCTACGTATTGGTTAGCCACCAATCGCGACGCCGGCGCCCCTCAACAAAGTAACGGGTGTCTAAGAGCTGTACTCTTAAAGGAGTGCAGTCATTGTCGTTCAAAGGCCAAGGCACATTCAGCAGTGAACAAGCGTATAACTTCTGAAAGTTCGTTATTGCGAAGTGGCCTACTTTCGCTTTCTCTAGTGTTACGCAGGTGCCCTTTTTTTCACTCTATGCGTTCGCGTCTTGCTCCCTTGTGAACTGTGCCTCCCCTTCTTTGATGTAACCGCGAGAACGTCATGGACAGGGTGCGCAATCAGGCAGCTTTGTTCATTATTACAAGAAAAATAAAAATGCTAAAAATACAGAGCGCGAATCACAGCACCGTTTCTTGCGCCCCATTTTTCGTCATGCCATCTCAGCACTGTTTCTCTGCTGGGGAGTTTATGAACATTCAATTCGTTGCAGAGAATGAAACCGAAGTGATGCAGACGTCGTAGTGTGCCATTTTTTTCTCTTTTGAACTTATCCTGTTTGCTAGCAAGCTGCCACTGTTCGCGCGCCGGTTTACTCTATGTGATGTTCTCAGAACGCTCAGGCTGTGTGAAGCGCAGAAAAATGCAAAGCTGGCGTGAGCATCTGACAGCGAACTTGTTGCTGAACATTCTTACCAATGCTAGTGAAGGTTATGGTACAAAGTACAAAAGACTGAATGTGCATTTACTTAACAACGATATATTGATTATTCATAGACTTATCCAACAAAATATTACGCATGCAAGAGTTTTAACTGAAATAAAAAAAAACACGTGAAGTACGAAAATTTACTTCCTGACTGCAAAGCACAAGTTTTTGTGCTAAGCATTGAAGATTTATCGGTGATATTTCTAACTTTGTGTGCTTCCAACACGCGTTTATTAGTATTTACCACAGCAATGACATTAAAGATTCTACTTCGTACCAGTACTTGCTGTTGTTGTCTTTCCTAGAAGATTGACTGATGACGCTTTCTATTCACTGATCACGAAATAGCTATTCAGGCACACAGCAAACAAAATTTCATACAATTGTGAGATCCGCTTCTGCTATCACCCTTTGCATACGATTTCCAGAACAATTTTGGCGAAACATGTAACAATATAGTTTTTCTTTCACTTCTAAAGCCAGTGCTTAGGCCACTAATTCATGGTATCAAAATTAACTTACAAGTATAATTCATGCATGCAGCTTTACGTGACTTGATGTCAGGCATTTGTGTCACCAGTCGGACGAACAGCTGATGTGCAAGATGCTACCCACACTGGTCTAAATGATTTATCCTTAAAATTAACTGTGCGCAATGAGAAAACCCTTGCTTAAAGAATGCTGCTTTTTACAAATATTAGCGTTTATAGGAGGGACCTAGCATGTGTATTGAAGCAAGTGATTGTCAAGCTTGAAATTGTGCTGTGCAAGCTTCACTATTTTTTGAAACTTAGTAGAAGGTGAACAAGGGCGTATAACCGTTTACCGCTTATACTTAGCATTCTTTTATTAAAGTAATCTTCCTCTAGCAATGTTGCGAAGAAAACGCGCAACGCACAAAGTTTCAGACCATCAACATAATTGCGCAGTCTGAGGCAAATGGAGTGCAATTGTAGTGATTTATTCTCTTAATAAGAAAGGTCTGTGACGTTTCCTTCAAATGGTTCAAATGAATCACAGTGCACTTTTTTGTTGTTTACATAAACTTGTGCCTTGCGCACACACCTCTTCTGCATGTCTGAAAAATAAAATAAAAAAACAAGTGGTCACTTGCTTCTATCACCTAAGAGGATAACGTTTATGTCAGTAACTGCCATCATTTGCCACGTTAAGCATTTAAGCGAGGATAACCTGCGAACATAAATGTTATCTGCACCACCTATTTCTTTTTTTTCTGGTTTCTTGCGTGAATGAGAACGCTTCAGAAGTTGTTTTATACCTATTCAAAGAAAAGTTTGGAGAATCAGCACTACTGCATTTCGGAACTCCTGCAATAAGTGAATGAGAGGTATCACTGAGAGACATCAGTGTGTTATGAACCTGGAGGCACTATCAAATATTAAAGTTGTAGCTGTCTAATCACATAAAGAGAATTCCGTGCATCTTCCGTGCAGCGTGAACCGAGCGTCTACCGTTAGCTGCAGCAACCATATAACTTCAACGTTTGGCGGCGCTGACCTCAGTCTAAGCGAGCTGAGACAATGCGTCGGAGCGTTGGAGTTGGTGCTGACAGCTGTACATTGGAATGACTGCTAATAACATCCTTTATGTTTTCTTTGCCATTTGTGTGTTCTCATTATATTGTCAATAACCAAGCAAAACGAGCCTTTATATTTTTGTTTCTTTCCTTTATTCATTGCGTAACCTATTAATCCCATGGAAGAATTTTTTATTTGATATATTGCATTAAGGTGACCCTTAATACGGTACTCGTTTGTGATACCGGCTTGTTGTAGGTTGATTGAAGGTAAGCGTGGCTCTATCTAAAGTTAACTTCTTGAACTTTGTCATAGGTTACTGACGTCGAACAATAAATCACTACACGTCAAGAACTTAGCTATTGCTTAGATGATTTCGTGCGTGTATATAGGAACACACACAGTTCAAAAATTGTGGGGGCACAGTTATTGACAGTCGATAATCAGATTAAGGGTGATGATTTAAAAACTTATGAAACCATGGTTGAGGTTTCCAAACGTTCCAGCCCGCACCGAGAGGTGATAGGCGTAATTTTTTTATTGGTGAACCCTGGTCATACCTAAACAAAGAGGGGGGGGGGGGGGTAGAATATTTTCTGCAGCCATTAAATATGATTCGCCTTTAATTTTCGCAATGTTTCACTTGGCCCATTGTCAAAGACAGAAATTTTGCAACTCACCAGTATACGTAAACACTATATTGAAGCGTAAGGTGTCCGAAGATTTGCAAATATCAGATATGACTTATGCTTGTTCAAATCGGCTGTTGTGCCATCTTTTTTATCTTTTTTTTGTGAGATTGTGGAATGTACAAGACATCGGATGGTGTCTTTGAGTACACAAATAACTGCACTAAAATTTTCGCAAATGTAAATCTTTCACGAAAATTTCGCTACATGTAAACGTAGCTCACTGTTTAGTATGGGTGCGTACTGTAATCGAAAAGAAACTTATATGTGAGACAGACGTGGTTTTAAACCAATTATCGGGGTGTCTCCCTTTGAATGTGCACATATATACTCGAAAAGATAATACCACAAATGTCCACAAACTTATCAACGTGTCGGACGCATCAACTTTCAAGCAATATCCATCTTGCTCCCCTAAACGTTCTGCAGCAAAAGTTCATAGCTGTTTTAATCATACAAGGTTCATTACTGCCAATTTTTTGAAATATGTTCTGTACCTGAGATTTGAGAACTTTACGTGCAATGTGTTTTGAAGATGTCGCCGATGTTTATGTTCTGCGAAAATATAGACCACATAAACGTGCGGTATTTACTAAATTATGTGAAAGAGTCAAGCAGTGAGAAAAAATTATGCTAACAGTTCTAAAATAATCTCAATATATCAGCAAGCAATGCGTGTGAAATACGAACCTTTTCTTTACCGCACGACATCCCTGGCAGAATATCCACTTTCGTGCAATAATTTGTGAAAAATCCAGGATAGCAGCACTCCATCTTGCAACTGCTGCTCAGAGCGGGATTCTAGTTAAAGAAAATCAAAGCAAGGAGGACGTAATCATGATTATGGCAAATTCCGTCTTTATGAGGAACTGACATGCCGCTTCCGAGATTACCCTCACTAATAACATGTACTTCTTGATCTCAATTCACAAAGTGTTCTTGCAAACCTTGAATTGTCCTATATTTTTAATAAATGGTGATCATAGCAATGCGCAAGCTTAGCGTTCATTGTTTTTGGTTCAGTCGGGGCATACGTATGGTGACGCAATTAATAAACAGCGCTCATATACGACAAAAACAACGCCTGTTGAACCTCCCCCTGGCTGGCTTGATCATAATCAATGCTATTTATAGCTCCATAACCTCGCGTATGAAAATATCCCGCAAACAAGCTCGCTGAAGGTGACATCGGAACGTGAGAACGTTTGGATCCTGCGTAACCCTAATTTTACAAAGGTATCAGCGACCAATCATGTAATAACACGGCGAGGCATATGTGGACACATGAATCATAGAAACAGTTAAAGGTCACTTCAGGTGCCTGAACATTTCTGATATTTCATTAGTTTAGAGCTCAACACAATTTATCTACCTTCAAAAAGTTTGAAATTTGATAGTTGGTCTGCCAAAGTCATTTAATGCGCATAATAAACAAGCTTTTTAGGCAGATTGTTTGTACTCGGAGAGATACATGAATGGTCGTCCCTGATACCGAAGTAGTGCAGCACTATCGCTTGTAATGTGCATCTGCTTGTAAAGAACAGTCTAAGTCAACCCTGAGAACGCACGAATTCCTGGTCTGATCACAAGAAGCCAACTGGAGGTCTTGGGCGAAGACAAGCGAACTGTTGCGGTAAACGAGAACCAATTGCAGGGCTCCTGACGATGCTATTCTACGTATTTACCTTTCTTGATCAAATGGTATTCTTCTTCTGCATTAAGGGCGCAAACTTACTACAGTAAAAGCTGACTAACTCGAACTCGAAGAGGACTACAAAATAGTTCGAATTTAGTGAAGTTCCAATTCGGGAACGGGAGCTGCAACGAATGGACATAGCCCGACGCTGCAAGGGAAGAGTTTGAAGAAACTATCCGTGGACTCATTGTTACAAATTAGGTGTTACTACTGGTTTGTGGTGAGTCATTACACAACTTCGGTTCATGGAGCATTAACAGCGAGCGTAAATAAATGATATCATAGTGATAGGCCACATACAAGTGTCGATGCACCTATGAGAGCAGTGAGCCTTCACAAAGACACACACGCACGCACACGCACACACATACACACAATTTGATGCGTCAGGCAATTGCGTTGAGGGACCGGCTGTTTAGCAGGGCTAGAGCAATGGTCGCCGGCAGCGTTCAAGGCAACGTTCACTGATTGATTGATTGATTCATTGATATGTGGGATTTAACGTCCCAAAACCACCTTATGATTATGAGAGACGCCGTATTGGAGGGCTCCGGAAATTTCGACCACCTGGGGTTCTTTAACGTGCACCCAAGTCTGAGCACACGGGCCTACAACATTTCCAACTCTATTGGAAATGCAGCCGCCTCAGCCTGGATTAGAACCCGTGCTCTGCGGGTCAGCAGCCGAGTACCTTAGCAATGGTCACCAGCATCAAGCGAAAGTCACCGGCAGCGTTAGTCATACAGAGGTTTTGCTTAAGGCGGCGTGGATGAGTTTCTGTAGGTGCCGTTTACCGTTTCCCCACTGCTTCGCATCCGCACATCATTCTTTTTAGAGGCAGATGTCGTAATTTTTCGTCCCGACGTGTGTGCTGCAAACTACACATGGCTGGCAAATGAAGTGGGCAAAAAGAAAAAGGTTAGATGGAGTAATAAGGCACGCTCGCTGACATGCAGTGTGATTCTGTTGCGTGCTAGGGTTGCCAGAGTGCCTGATATTTGCGCGCCACAGAGCGCGGCCGCCGGGCAGTGGCAAGATGCGCGACACATTCGCGCAGCTCTTCATGTCATCTGACGGCCATTAGCTGCAATCAGCTAAATGAAAGCAATGGTATATTAAAGCGCAGCTCTTAAGCGACTGCTCTTGTGTTGAGCGTGGTCCTTCATTAACCCTTCGCGTATACGCCTCTCCCGAACACCAAGGCAATTTTTCGAGTGAAGCTTACCCCCGTATTCACAAACGCTCCTCGACTCGACTTCCACCCTTCACTTGACAGAGTTGAGCACTGCGCCACCGCTCGGCTGAAAATGACGCTGCGCTACTCAAGAATTGCAGCAGATTATCGCTCATATGCAGTGACTTGCCGTGGCTAGAGACGGCGCTCCCATCGGCTTTCTGGAGTGAAGATGAAGTGTTGAGTGAAGGGACGTTCTTGAATACGGAGGTTATTGTGAGTTGCAGACTGCGCTGGCGGGCCTGTCGCAAGAGCTAAAAACGGTGCAGTAAGCTTACCAAATTGTGACCGGTGGCCCTTGGTGGTCCACGGGTCATGTGCTTTTGCGTGTGTCTTTTGTGATAATTGACGCTCTTTCGCTGAGGAACTTGTCGGCAATCATCTGTTTCTGATCCTTCGTTAAGATTGCTCGCAAAGATGGCACATCTTATCGTGGCCTGCACATCAAAGCATGAGGCCACTTTCCGACGCTGCAGCATAATCGTGAGCTATCTAGCCGGATCGTATAACTGCGCAGGCGCAGAGTCTGCGCGAAGGAAAAAAAAATTTAGGTCAGGCGCGTAAACGCCAAGCTCCGTTTGCCCCGACATCTACGATAAGGAAGGGGTTTTTAATTTTCCTTGAAGGAATCTTCCACTTGTCCTGAGAAGCCAATAGTTTGTGCCACCAAAAGCACTTGCGATGTGCTACGCACGCGATGAATCAGTATATCAGACGCTGTACAGTTGGGTCGGGCGTGCGTTGAAGGTTTTCGCGGGAACGTCGACCAATGACTACAACAGCGTCACGTCGTGGAATTTCCTTTCTAGCAGAGCGTGGTGTCACACAAGCTCTACTCACTGTTTTCGTAGTTAGTTAAGTGGCGATCACCCCCGTCTGAGGAAGCCGTTTAAAAAAGAAAAGCAGTACCAAGCATCAACTTTAACATGTCTTTAACAGCAATTTCAAATTCGCCTGCAGAGATGAGATCCCACGAAGGAATCATGCAATTAATAAAAACGAATAGGAGGCTTCACTAGTAAGAAGGGCGAAGGGTTTGTCGTAGGGAGGATGGTTGTAGTATGGAACAGCCTACGACAAAGAGAAGAAGGTGAAATTTTGATTTTTCATTGTTTTGAGGTGTACAGATAGGCCTCATAGGACGTTTGGCGTGCACGTCGATGCTGGGGTGACAGCCTTCACATCGTGCACGACTGTACTTCGTTCCGGCCGAAGAGAAGATCGCAGCCGCGCACATAAGCAAGGATAGCTTCAGTACATTTCTTTGTCGCCTGTGACTACGCAACTAAGGAAAGTGCTTCGCCTAGCGCAGCTGCACTTCTAGCTGCCCAAGCAGAGACTCGGTGTCGCTGCATGACGCCGAAGCGCAAGGTTTGTGCCATCGTTGAAAAAGAGAGAGCAGTTTGATCAGCAGTAGCAGAAGTTTGTCGATGCCGTGCTCCAGGACGACACTGCAGTTGGCTACGTGAAAGGGACACAAAAGCGAGTTCCACAAACGGTATACGCGCCGTTGCCAATAAGACCCTACCATTCGCGCCACCGAGGTTCAAAGTTATCGCCGCAGCCACCATGGGCATCCTGAAGTTCGCGTCTTCTGATGGGAAGGTGAGCACCATTCCCAACAATGCCTAGCTTTTCTCGCCGCCGAGGCCAACGCAAAGCGTGCAATGAGGCTTCTATTGTCCGAATATGCAGTAATCACGTTCTAGCATTGCGTCAAATTGTTTGCTTAACGATGTCTTCATAGTGCGACACAGTTAGGCAAGCGAAAAGTACGAAACACGAGTGCACCATCAGGCTGCTCTCACATTTCGTACTAGAGAGCATCGTAATTGTCTAAAGTGTTTTTTTTTGTGAAAACCGAGCCGAAGAGTTGGTTGATAGCACTTTTAAAAATAAGCTCATCATTTTTCTGGGGTTCTAGAAACACCATTCTGGATGGTTAGGTGTATGCGTGCTTTTCGCTGTTACTGAAATGGCTTTTGAAATTCTGTCAGTGTTTAGGATACATTGTCAACAAGTAATTCTGACCCCGACTTAAGCAACGTGCGCAGCGTATCCAGGCAACTAGGGCCCATTATAGTTATGCCCTCCTTTATGACACATGGACAGCAAGTCATTGCTAGCGACCGAACCACGCTCGGCACGTCGCACTCATTGAAGTGCGCCCGGATAGCACACGCCGTAGAGACACATAAACGAGGCCTGCGGAGTGGTTCAGATCTGCTTCCAGGTAGAATTATAGCGGTCGCGAAACTTGAATCGAAAAGTGGTTCAAAACCTGCTGCCACAGATATTGACGTTCGCCGTACGATTGAAGCGCGCCGGGGTGAGAAGTGGTCAAATAAAGAAATCAAAATAAAAACTAAGGACAAGATAAACTTTTTTCGAACACTCTTAATTTCAACATATGCCAAAGTCGACCCAAAATTTACATAACAATTTATCGTCCCGACGACTAAATAGGTGATGACATCACTTTTCGCTGATCGCCATAAATGGGGTTGGGAGGGGAGGGGGATAAGCAGGCAGTGTGCCACTTGCACTTGTGCTTAATTAATCGACGTAGTGCGTTAGAATCATAGGACAAGGGAAGGGAGAGAAGGGAGCGCTTACTTTTAACAAAATTTTATTTCGAGGAGCGTACATATATATGCTCACGAAATTTGAATACAACAGACAAACAGATGTAAAACCCTCTATTGCCATGCGCTAAAAACTTATGATCTCGAAAACAACCATTCTTTTTCACAAAGACTGAGAGAAGGATTGCTGACGCAGTTCAGCCCTATTCTACTAATCCTTTCTGCTTCAATAATCTCCCTTGTCACTTTATTTCTGTTTTTTCCCATGATTACCCTTCTGTCCCTTCCCTTGTCCTATGATTCTAACGCGCTACGTCGATTAATTATGTCTTACCAACATGCGCGACTTTATACAGTTGTGCTTAGATCGGTGCACTGCAAGGTCAACGAGGCATCGCTCACTTTGGCGAGGTGGTTTCATCCTATTTTCCGTAAGTTATCCGGCGTGACGCTTCAGACAACTAGCTCACAGAATGTGCAGATAAGCACTCATGTGACCACAGACTGATTTCGATGGCACACGGCCTACGTGCCCTCGCCTTTCGTGATGGTCAATTCAGCTCGCTAAGCGTAGAATCACTGCACTGTAACGCCTAAGGTGATAGCTTCCCGTCTGCGGTCTCGCCCTAAGGGTTTCTTCGATTGGGCAACATAAGTTTTCGAACATTGTGCTCTAGTGATCGTCAGTTGCTGCGACATAATTTCTTCATCTACACAGTACTTTATAAAGTATAACATGTACAATATTTAACTGTTAAAACAAGTTTGCTTTCTCAATCTTCTTTGTTGAGCTTTATTTTTTCTCACATATGATATTGGTCAGCCATAAAATTCCGTAGTGATGCAAAACGTCAGAAATTAAAAAAATATATATATATTTGGCGCCATGGGGGGAATATGCAAGACGTAGTTACCGCTTTTGGTTGTGACGTCATAATTTATTTCTTGCTTGCTGTTACTTGCGATACGTAAATGGCGACGGCTGCAACGATCTTCCAACTAGTTGACCAAAGAGCTTGGTGAAAATTTCGCTACCAGTTTACACAAACCTTGCTTGCTCTGCCAGATACCGCCACACAACCCGTTCTTATTTTATTCCCCAGTACGGCTGCGAATCGAAGAGGCATATGCACTACCATAAGGTATTTGAGAGTGATCCAAGCTTAGCATGACTGTCGGCAGGATTCTATCTTTGAGGGAGCAAACTAGTGTGACACTAGCACCAAACTATTAGGGGCGAAGCTCCTTAGGGCGTGGGCTGTGCGTCCCCTGTATGTAGCCATCTCTAGTTTAGTTCTTGCAGTGTTCACTAGATGGCGGTACCGTCCCCTGTATGTAGCCACCTCTAGTTTAGTTCTTGCAGTGTTCACTAGATGGCGGTACCGTCTCCTGTATGTAGCCACCTCTCGTTTAGTTCTTGTAGTGTTTACTAGATGGTGGTACTTGTAGCTGATGATGAAAAGATGCAAGATGTTATAAACTAGAAAGCGGTACTTGTAGTTGCTGAAAGACGCGAGATCTTATAAAATAGGAATGATGTCACATATGGCGCGTGTCATTGGTTGAAGGCAATCGTTCGATTTAGTGCGGCGACGTACGCTAGGGGGAGCGATGTAACAAAATCGAGTGGGCAAAATGTACAGAGGATTCATGGTTTACCAGGTTTACCTCCGGAGCTTCGCCCACTCATCATCATTCACTTCGTGGATAGGGCGGCACTTTTTTGAAAGGGGGGGGGGGCTGATTAGACATGGGTGGGGGCGATGCTGCCGAGTGATGAGGGGGGGCGGGGCAGCAAGTGTTCTTTTTGGATCCCCCTGTCGAAGCCCACGCCGATAAGCATGAACTTGGAAAAGCGAAGCTGCGTACGTGTAGATACTGACGTTGATTTGATGGTGAAAACCCGGCGTTCACTGCAGTAACAAGCTGAAGCGACTTTGCTTCGCAAATACCTTAAATACCTTACACGACATCGTAATAACAGGTTTACAGCTACGCAACTCACCAGTTTGATGTAGTATTTGATTCCAGGCTTCTTCAACGTTTTCTCGCAGTAATACAACGCTCCCACAATCTGGCCTGGGTATTTCCTGTGTTTACTCATGTAATTCGTCTTCGTCTGCACCTTTATGCAATCCAGCCAGAGTTTTCTGCAAATGTAAATAATATGACGCTGACTGCTATCTTCTGCGATATTTCATGGCCCATGGGGCCCCAAAACGGGCTGCTCTCTAGATCTTCAACTTATGTCTAAGGTTCTTTGCGCAAAAAAGAGCATGGATCCCCAAGCACGGCCGCACCTTCCATAGTGTGCTAATTATATTCAGGTTCATCAGACCTGTTATCCATCACATTTCATAAATGCATCCGACAAAAACACCGACCCCAGCTTCCACAGGAACGCTCACTTAATTTTACCGAATTTACAGCCACTAGAACAGGCCAGCAGAGCACATATTACCACTTATATTCGGCGGCTCACTAGTGAGCCACTGGGTAAACACGTAAACAGCATTTAGAAAAGAGCATTTCATGTTCGTATGCGCGAAAAACGGTAATCAAATCCAAATTTGCTATCGACTGTTCTGTGAAGATTGTACATTCTGGCGGACCCTGTTACGGGTATAGGTCACAAAAAAAAAGCGAATTTCACTCGTTGGTAGCGCAAATTGTGATCGAAAATGCCTCACGCCGCAGTAAACTGTACACTACAGCATGCATCCTTTGTTGATGAATTATATGTGTTTGATTTAACTTGAGGGACAAGGTTAGGGTCGACCGCGAGCTACCTTTACCCCCGTATTCTAGAACCTCCCTTCACTCAACGCTTCGCCTTCACTTGAGAAAGCCGATTGAAGCGACATCTCTAGGCACGGCGTTACTGCATATCAAAGATAGTCTGCTGCGATTATCGAGTAGCGCAGCGTCATTTTCAGCCAAGCGGTGGCGCAGTGCTCAACTCTGTCAAATGAAGGGTGAAAGTTGAGTCGAAGAGCGTTTTTGAATACGGGGGTTAGGCTTCACAAAGCGGTGTACGCGCCTGGTAAGTACACATTATGCGCATAACAACTCAACTTGATTCACATAAAAGAAAAGACAGCGCCAATAACGAGGGACAAGAAAAGGAGGAGACAGACAGCGCCACTGACTTACAACAAGATTTATTTGCTGGAACCACGCAATATATACTTGAACGGTATCTGACAAAAAAGAGAAAATACAAATCAAAGAAAACGGAATTCACCTAACAACCGAGTAATCATCGTGATAATACCCCATGAACAACACGTGTGCCAACGTTTTGAAGAAAATCTATTTATCTTTTTTGGGGATAGAGCAATGATAGATAAATCTTGTTCTAAGTCAGTGCCACTGTCTGTCTCCTTCTTTTCTTGCCCCTCGTTATTGGCGCTGTTCTTTATGTGAATCATGTCGTACCAACCCGCCCAAGCAACCACGTTTACTGAACTTGCACATGCTCGTTGGTCCGCCCCGCTAAGTTTGGCTTCAGCCAAAAAAAACAAAAAACAAAAAAAACGCAACATAGACTGCTTTTCGCAGGATACTGGGCACAATACTGCGTCCAAAATGTGCGTAGTCTTCGGGAACTTCCTTTCGTGTAGGGTTTCATTTCGATTAATAAATGTGTAGTAAACACCTGCACAGTTGGCGCCTTTGATATTCCAATTATGCTTCCTAGCTCTAAACTTCCCTTCTTGCGTTATCGATATATTCCCCACCATTTACCAAACTATTTTTTGTCAATCATGTTATGAAGGCCCCAGTGCTTCGCAACTGCGTTCAGTCTCCTTATTTACACTGTTGTAAAGCATCCTCGCCGTTACATCGACGATGCCAAGAGCGGCCACGAAAAAACATTGCTGCAATACGCTAAGCAAATGTATTCGAATGACTGCGAAAGCTCAATCCAAAGCTATATCAGAAAATGCCGGGAATTAATGCATTTGTCCCTGTATTAGCTCTGCATGAAACGATTACATCTTGATGCGCTCGTTAGTGCTGTCGAAAATCCACTGAATACTTTCTGTGGACTAGTGTTGCCCGTTTTTTACCGCACGAGGCACATCTAAATGCAACTATGCATCCAAAGAACTCGAACTTACTGATAGATATTTCGGATCGACCTTTCACTGCAAGGAGAGAGGCGAAACTTCTTCAATCCTCCGTCGACGTAACTCATCAGGTATCCTGCTTCCCAAGGACACTCTGGCGTTCCATCGTGTGGTGCTCCCAGCCTGTACAAAACAAAATGATTGGCTGTATTATTTTTCAGCCTGCCGCCTATATACATTTTAGCCCAGCCAATTGAACTCACACGTGGCACAGCTCGTGGGCAACCGCATTGATTCCGGAGTAGGTAGTGGCTGTGTCTTCAGCCTCGCCAATTTTTCGCTTCTTGCAAACAGTTCCAACGTACGCAAGGCCTGAAAGGTTCATTTTTGCTCACAAGAATGAAGAGTTAGTCGTTTTTTTTTTCTCCCAGATTATCGTGGAAGTTTTGAGAACATGGAATGATGCGCTATTCGCAGGGCACGAACTTCGACGATCAATGGTAACACACCATCCGAATGCAATGAGTTATTTAAACGATAACCACATTTACAGACTGCACTGTGATGCATGCGACCGGTCTAGGGGGTATTTCATGGCATAGAAACGGCAAAGATGGCACGAGGAGCTGCTCCCACCATTGCCGGTTCTTTATCTTTCACGCAACATTGTGATCTCTCTAGGAGCCAGGCGTCACCCCTTCGCATAGCATAGAAAAATAGATCGACTGGTGAAGACCGTACTGCCTCATAATGCCCGCTGCATATTGAACGATGTCACGCATCAAGAGAGAGAGAGAGAGAGCGAGGTAGAGAGAAAAAGAAAGGCCAGGTTAAACAGATATTGGCACCTGGTTTGCTACCCTGCACTGGGGGTGGGGAAATAGGGGCAAGAAAGAGGGGGTAGATTCCCACATATGTCAAGATCGGAAGATTATCACCTTGCAAGGTACGCGACACTACCCAAAGAGTTGATTAAACCAAGTTTGAATTTCTCATGGAAGAATGCTGTCAAGAAAACACTTCACTTGACTTAGAAGATGTGATCAAGTCCACAGTGCAAGACACGGTGTGCACCCTCACATGCTCTTCGAGAGTAACGAAATGTAGAATTAGGACGACTTCGGGCTCTTCGACGCATCAAAGAATGTCTAAAGGTAAGGGGGTGGTGAATCCCAGTTCATAACAGCTCTTACGCCTGCGGTTAGTTATGATCACGCCTGGCGGTGACACTAATAGCATTATCGAGTGGTTAAAATCACGGTTTTCTAAAACTATCTAGAGAGACTCCAGCGTTTAGACCATTCAACCACCATGTGAATGATGGGTGATACACAAATTTGCCTCGTTTTTGTGTTTACAGGGGTATTTATTCCTGTGTTTTGGTTTTGTTTCGAATTAAAGAGCAACTCATTCTGAACTTCGTGACGCGACTTGAACTGGTGAGCCTAAATGTTTGAGGTGGTTAAGCTGGTCGCTTGACAAAGCGGATACGGGCCAGGTGAAGCCAAACAGAGCCGAATGAACGAAAATTAGAAATATTTGTGTATTATCCATAATTCCCATGCTGTCTGAAGCACCGTGCGTGGCTGCTCTCATAGACACTATCGCCAGAGTTTCCTGTAGTGTACTCATAGGATATGGTTATAATACCATGTGAACAGGGCGGGCGAGGTGCAACGACAAGAAACCGACAGGAAGTGGTGCCTGTACTCGGTTGTTTCATATCTTTAGGCTTCTGCAGCGCCGTTCACCTAGCCGTGCGAAATACCAACTACCTCGGTCACACGCACGCACACAAGACTGATGAGCACATGGTAACAATGACACTCAAGCTCAAAGTTGTTACGCATAACACTAGCATGTACGACATCCCGTTTCAAACTTTTCGCTAGTGCTCCAATCATGTGTATTATCGGGGAGTCTTGACGTGCCCGAAGAGAACAGTCGGTGTCTTCGACGTGAAACTGTTCATTTAGCTGAACGTGTGGCCACGAAGTCTAAACTGCAATTACAGCAAGCAATGCATGGTATCGTTGCACAAAGTGTCGGCCATCGATAATCTGATACGCGGCAAGGCGAGTCCTCGTTTATACATGTGGCTTGCAGCTTCAGAGCGTTATCGCTGGTAACAGCGTTTGTTCGAGATTAAACTCAGATCTTCATGTTTGCGTGCTCAAGCTTAACAGAGGATTGTAAAATAATCTGGAATGACGTCGGACATTCTGGGGCACTTTTCGCAGGGCATTATCTGCGTGAGCGACAGGCCGGTGGCATAAAACATTAAAAGAAGTGAGCGTGTTGGGTATTATCAAGCGGAGGCCACCTTTTTCTCAAGCAATAATGTGTAATGTAGCACCATGATACACTCACGCTTGGCGCTTGTCTCATTGCAGTTCTGTTAGGTGCAGATTTAAGCGATAGCAAAGGACTGCATCCATGCAGCAGATATCTCACGTTCTGATAAGTGAAGTGTTCTCAAGGGACCTATAAAGAATTTCGGCTTGCAGAACATCTTCTGAACTAATCAACAGGCCATAATAACATTTTTATGATTGCCAATAACTTGAGAATACTGCCATTTCTGAACTCTTCATGGAAAATTTTACAGATTATGACTGACTGACAGTGAAAATCCTACAGTTTCATATCCTCGTAGGTTGCTGGAAGGACGTATACAGTCCTTGATCACCCATTGGAGCCGGCTTTTGACCACGCGCTGTGAAAGTTTTGACATTCTTTGCTGCCGAGTGCGTTGCACGTACCGCCCAAAGCCTTGTTCATTTTCCCATCAGGTCGGTTGAACATGTCCAGCCTGAAAAAGTGTTACGTGTTATGTGCTGCATTTTTCACTGTAATCCTCCTATTAAAATTGTGAGAGACATCATTAAGAAGACCACCCTACCGTGGTGGTCTAGTGGCTAAGATACTCGGCTGCTGACCCGCAGGTCGCGGGATCGAGTCCCACCTGCGGTGGTTGCATTTTCGATGAGGTGAAATTGTTAGGCCCGTGTGCTCAGATATGGGTTCACGTTAAAAAAAACCCAAGTGGCCAAAATATCCGGAACAGGTTTAAGCCCACATATCAATAAAACAATCATTAAGAAGACCGACAACCAATTTTCGGTACCTGTTGTTTGCGTGCAAGGAGAAGCTCACCCAGCAAAGTTCCTAATCGTGGAATATTAACGCGGGAAATGCGCACGAGGTTGTTCGTGACACCAGTTCGTACTCGGGTGCTTTCGTGGCTGTTTGACCTAATAAACTAGTTTCCACGTCAATTGTCAGCGTTAACGCCTCTTTACATCGCAAGAAACACAGAATAGAGCTGATGATTGAAATGAAGGGTTTAACGTCCCAAGACCACAATATGATTATGAGAGACGCCGTAGTGGAGGGCTCCGAAAATTTCGACCACCTGGGGTTCTTTAACGTGCACCAAAATCTGAACTCACGGGCCTACAGCATTTCCCACTCCATTGGAAATGCAGGCGCCGCAGCCGGAGTTTGATCCCGCGACCTGCGGGTCGGCAGCCGAGTACCTTAGCCTCTAGACCACAATGGCGGGGCCACAGAATAGAGCGAAGACTAATGTAGGAAAACATAGTTTAATATATTTTAGATTGTTTATTTACACACAGTTTCTGTATACATATTCTTGTATATTGCAACGTGAATTAAAATAAGGCCACGAAACATCGTATGCACCAACCCAACCGTTTCCATGCGTATGCGTCTACGGTAAAATGGTTCGTTCGGTTGTTTAAGCTGAGAAACACAAAGGTTAGCGCGCTGGCCACGTGGTAACCGTTTTCTAACGAAATTACAAAAAGCGCGTTGATAGCCAGCCAGATAACGGGTCAAATGTGATCCTCTTTTTAAACCAAAACCTTTGTCTATTATGTGACTGGGTTGCAAGAACTACAAAACAATGGATATAAACAAGTTGATGGGGCACTCGGCACCATGGAAAAGCGGTCGGTGCCAATTCTTGGGCACAAAAGATGGACTCAGGTGTGAAGTCTTGTTCCTTTTCGCGCACTGGCAGCAATAAAAGCCACCCGTCAAACAGTCCCAAAAGCGACCTCCAAAACTGGTTATTTTAACGTCCGCAAGAGCGTTTGTGTCTGCCGTGGAGTGTCACGTGCAGTATATACGAGCGGTGCTTTAGTCACCTTCCGTACTTTTCCCTCACTGTATTCTTTTTCTGCTTTTATGCGTTTGCTGCATGTTTCTAACTCCTCTAATATTCAGAGTGCCCATCTGCCATCTATTTTGCTTCTGCAAAAAAAGGAGTGGCAGCAGTGTACCAACATTAATAAAAAAGAATCACTACCATGATGTACGAACAGCTTGCTAGGAGTTCGAATTTAATGTTTTATTTATTTACCAGGAAAACTTGAAAGTAGCCACAGCTAAAAGCCGTGAGAAAAGTTTGACAAAGGCCCTGGTGACTTGTACATACACATGGCAGTCACACAAAGCGAAACAACGGATCCTGTCGGCACGTTTCGTCCTGCGTTATTTATTTTAGATGGACAGCAAAATCTTCAAAGTCGTTAATATTGCGACAGCCATCGGTCATTTTGTTTGTGAGAAAACAGCGAAAAGCAACCCTGAGGTAATCAGTTGCTGTGCTTTAATTTCTATTTGCTAAGTGTCGATTTAAGAATAACTTAGGTAGAAGACCACTCTGTGAAACGCATTAAACGCTGATTGCTTACTTAGGTCATAAGTCAGACATAAGTTTCGTTTGTGAAAACAAGCCTTATATTTATACTTTAGGTGTCACAAATGTCGACTCCCTGCAATGGCCATCTTACGGCAAAACGTGTTTGCGCATGCAGATATATGCTTTCGGAGCCTGACAGTCCATCACCTTCATTCAAGCTAAACGTAGCAACAAATAGAAGCCACCGCTTCAAATGCCGAAACAAGCACGCTTACCCGCTTACGAGAAACACGATGTCGGGGTTTCCTGGAATTCTTCCATTGTCCATATATTTTTCGATACCGCGCAACGTCTCACGCGCATTTAGGAGACCTTCTTCCATTGCGGCAAACGCATCATCCTGCGCCAAATACGAAAACGCCATCTTGTAGAACAATGATTCACATTTGCGTCGGTTTACGTCTTTTAAGGTATAGAACAGACAGCTTACGCTGCGCAAGTTTTTGTGGGAGCAGATGTGCACTTAATTTCAAAGGACGGAGGCTGCATTGGATCATTCATTCGACGGCGAAAATGGACAGGCCGCAACTTTTATATGATGGTGAGGTACGCTGGAGGATTATAGGTTATTGCTGTCGAGCTGTGGTTCTTACAAACGGTGTCATGTTGACTCAATGTTACGAACACTGACGAGGCAATGAAAAATGCAAGCTTGTGTCAGTATAATGCTGCCTAACTTGTGCGAAATGGTGAATAATATTGGTAACGACAGTGTAAAGTACCTAGCTAACACTAGCTATCACTTAAGATCAGCCAACATTTTAACGACAATATGAATCATTTCCCAATTATGCAGAAGAAGTGGACTACCATACACCACACATATGTACCGAATTTGGCATAAGTACAGTTGACAAAGTGTTAGATAGCCTTATCTAGCGACAATTAATATTAACTGATTCCTTCCTTCCAGTGTCAGTCGTATATTTGAGATATGTGCCTTGGTGATCGCTTCAGTGTTGCCAATTTACCATATAATGACGACACTACTAGTCAGTCACCGCCACGTCATTTCTTATGGCATATACTCGCACAGAATAGCAGCGCGGCTACTATTAGGACACAGAGTGGAAACGCAATGTGAATGATGCCAGGTACTCACGATGCTCCTCGTTATTCCGACGAGAATAAAGCTGATCTTCGGTCTTGCCATGTCGACGTATCTCAAGTTGACCTAAATTAGACAATAAAGCTTGTAACACGTGTCTGGTTTCTTGTGCTTCTACATGCCGCATGAAAAGGCGGAAACTGGGGGAGAAGATGGAAACTACAACACTTCAAAAATTTGTGAGCACGGCATGTCACTAGAGTCAAGGTTCTCACAAGTCAACTTGTCATCTCCAGGTCTACAACTGCTCTCCAGTAGCGTTGGAAACGAGAAGCATGCCACTCGAAAGGCTTGCTCAAGCTACATCCCGTTCTCACGAATATTTATTATCTATACACCGCATAACTTAAGTGTGTCCCTTGCATTTTTTCATGTCAAGAGCGCTCACAGCTGTTAATAAAAGAGCTTGTTTCAAAAACGTCTTAGCATACACACTTCGATTATTGTAAAACGCCCGCCTAAGACAAGCATATGTGTAAATACTCCACTGTGCTTGAGGAGGATTTACAGGGACTAGTGGCAGCATGACGTTTTCATGCGCTGCCAGTGGATTTGGACTAAAAAAATAACGAGAAAGAGCACAGTCCATCAGGCGGTGTTAATTGTTTGTCATTTATTCAGTGTGTGTCAAAACTGGCCGTGCATCAAAACACGATGACATACCAAATAGCCCCTATTGGAGTCTTATTAGGAGTGTGGCAAACACAACGGACGCTATTTAGAAGAGCTTACACCTATGCGTGATGTCTTGCTTATCCTAGCATTTTCGGGCAGTGCAGACATTCAATCATATCGCCAATAAGCGGGTTCTACGACCAACAACTACTAGACAAATATGCATGTATAGCCCCGCCGCGGTGGTCTAGTGGCTAAAGTACTTGGCTGCTGACCCGCAGGTCACGGGATCACATCCGGGCTATGGCGGCTGCATTTCCGATGGAGACGGAAATGTCGTAGGCCTGTGTACTCAGATTTGGTTGCACATTAAGGAACCCCAGGTGGTCAAAATTTCCTACGGCGTCTCTCATAATCATATGGTTGTTTTGGGACGTTAAACCCCATCAATCAATCAATCAATCAATCAATCAATCAATCAATCAATCAATCATTATGCATGTGTAATGTGATACGTCAATGTCTCGCCTTTGTGGAACGTCGTTCTGCCTAAATATTCAACTGTTTACAACACTGAAGGCCCTATCTGAATGATCAACATATTTTCACGTGGTCGTTCTTTAGAGGTGTGAAGGATAGCCAGAAACCAAGTGTTTCGACAATAACAAAACGAAAGGTTACGCTGAAAAAAAAAATGATACCTCACCTTTGCAAAGTGCATACCGCGCTAGTGATTGAATTATGTAGCCTTATGCATTGTGTGGTGCAATGTGTATTTAAATGTTGTCCATGACGGCATCATAATACTTAATCTTTTGAGTACTACGAGCACGGAATATACCAGCTAGCCATCGCAAGAAACCAGCTGTGTCCTCTTCTGCCATCCCACAACAGCATATATATATATATATATATATATATATATATATATATATATATATATATACAGGTGATTCATAATACATCTGGGAGCTTCGTCATGCGTTTCCACAGAGTAGATCAAGCACTTTGAGAACAAAGTTAGTTTAAAACAGTGTCAGGATTTAGGAGCGGTTGCGCATAACACTTGCTTCAATAACTGCGACACTTGCTTAAATAACTGGAACTGCGCTTAAAAAAACTACCACAGCCCTAAAAGACGGCAATGAACTAAAAGGGGTTGATCTTGCTAATGCTTTTAACAATTTTTTTTGTCCCTTGGTCTGGCATGTGACGGTATTGACCTTTCGTACATGAACCCACCTAATAAGCAGTCATTATTCCTAAGAGGTGTCGCAACACAAGAAGGTATTTCTTTTATTCTTGTCACTAAGTAACAACAGGGCCACAGATGCATTTGGTATTCAAACAGCGCCCGTAAAATTTGTCATAGACATAATTGCATCTTGCCTAGAGTACAGTTTTAATCTATGTTTGTCAACAGACGTTTTCCCTCGTAGCATGCAGACGGCAAAGGTGACAGTAATATTCAAAAAAGGCGACAAGAATGATCTTTCAAATTACCGCCCTGTATCAGTGTTGCCTGTTTTTTCGAAAGGTTTAGAGAAGGTGATTTTAGCGCGGTTTTCTCCGTTTACTGACCACTTTGGTATCATATAAGTCCTGCACAGTTCGGTTTTCGTAAAAACAGCTCAACTGATTTAGCCCTAATGACCCAAAAGAAGTTTATATTGCAAAAATTTGAAGAAAAGAAAATGGTGCTTGGAATTTTTCTTGATTTTTCCAAGGTCTTTGACCTTATCAGTCATGATTTTTTGCTTAAAAAATTGATCGCTGCGGTATTCGCGGCGTAGCTCACTCTCTTATTACGTCCTACATTCAGCACAGAACCCAGTTCGTAGCTATAGCTGGGGATCAATCGGAGTTGAAATCTGTAAGAACCGGCGTCCCACAGAGGAGCATATTGGGTCCGTATCTCTTCATATTGTACATTAATGACATAGTCAATGTTGATTCCTCTGTTAAGTGCGTAATTTACGCAGACGATACAAGTCTGTTTTTTGACGGTGACTTAGGTGCTGAAATGTCAAATCGAGCCAATAAGACGCTTGCAAGTATACAAAAGTGGGCTACAAGTAATTATCTTAAGATTAAGTTAGAAAAAACAAAGGCAGTCTTGTTTCATCCACGTAACAAACAATTTCAACTAACCCCCATTAAATTAAATAATACTGAAATAGAAATACTAATATAAATAGAAATAGAAATACCGTCTTTCAAATTGCTTGGCGTATATTTCTCTGCAACTATGTCGTGAGATTGCCAAGTGAATCACTTAGTAAATTATCTAGAGCAATAGGTACTATGCGTCGCCATTGTAACTATCTTCCTACATCCATTACTAAGATGCTATATAATTCAATGTTTCTTTCCCTAGTTCAATACGGAATTCTAGTCTGGGGGACGACTTCAGCTGAAAACATTCACAAGCTGGGGGTATTACAAAAAAGAGCAATACGCCTTGTCTGCAGGGTGCCATATCTTTGGCATACTGCTGCTTTGTTTACAAAGCTTAGAACAATAAGAATTGAATCTTTGTACACATATAGGCTATGTCTCATGTATGGAATGGAAAAAATTAAGAATGATAACGCTTTAACAAAATTGGCATCCTTACAGCAACATAACTCTTTTTATAAGTTTCGTCATTCCGAGCCTTGGATTGTTAACAAAAGCAGAACTACATACGGTGACCAAATGCTACAATCCTGTGTACCTACTGTGCTAAATCAACTACACAAAGAAAATGGTCTCAGTGTATCAACTCTGTCGCTAAAAAAGCTACGCGACGTATTTATGTGATTGCTTGTGCTGCTAACGGCTTATTTGTTTGTCCTTTTCTCTGTCTTTAGCACTTCGCTTATTTTTTTCCCCTTTTTTTTTCAAATGTTTCTATAATGACCTTGTTTATTTATTCCGACCATGGATGTCTACTGTTTTTGTGTTTTTTAAGTTAGTTCATTCATGATGTATACCATATTTTTGTGTGATCGCTGTGAAGCTGCCCAGTGTATGAGGTGACCAGGTTCCCCTCAAGCTGCAGCTTTTTTGCCTGGTTGTCCTCGCAACTTTGTTGTTGTGAATAAACAATTCAATTCAATAAGCTTATCCTGAAATATTATACTTACAGCGTTAGTCATGACAGCCATGTAAGCAATTATGTCTTCATTTCTTCTAAAGTCACGTTGATGTTTCATGTCGGAAATCATATGAACTTCCACAACAAAGGAGTCTGGCTTCCCGTGGGAGTTTCCTGTATACTGTTTCCTGGAATTGTGTCCTGTACACACCGGCATGTCTCAAATGAATTTTTTTTTGTTGATTAGGAACTCTATAGCATCAAGCGATTATGTAATCCGATCAGATTGTACTTACTTATAATTATAAGTAGGGAGAATTGCTTTTTATGCTAACAAAGAAACATGTAGTTTCTTCCTCCCTTTCTCTCTCCCTCCCTCCCCAAAAAAGCCTGATCAAATTTTTTTTTACTTTACAAACAGTTAGGTCCGCTTACGCTGAACATAAGGTGATTTATAAAAATAAAGTTATCTGGATGAGTAACTCGTAGTGTAAATGGGAAATACAGGAATACTGTTTAGTGAACATATTCTACATAGTGAAGATTTGGTGCAGAACTGTCCCAAACCAAAAAGCACACATCATTGGAGCGTTTTTTTCTTCTGACTTTAAGAATGTTTCGCAAAATATTTTATTTTCTATCAAGCTGTCGTTTAATTGAATCTGCGCTATTACTACTAAGATACTTGCTAAGCTGCTGATGAGATGACCGACATGCCTTTCTCTATTATTTTTTCCTTCTTGAAATGCTATCATCAAATTTAGAGCCGAATAGACCTTCATGCAGTCACCTGTATGAGGTGTTACGAAATTAGGTGTTAATTTTTCAGCATACAAGGGCGATAAATTTACACTGGAAGTTGAAGTAATTCATGCGTAAACATCCGGTGTTTACTCAGATTACTCCATAGCCTAGTGTGGTAATGATTTATTTGCACCCTTGCTCTGTATATACTTTTGCCCAATGATATGGCAGGCTTCATCATAGCTGCGACTTGACAGTTTTTTTGCTCTATCAATAATTCATGATCGCCATAACTCGTCTAACCATATTCCCACTCTTAATCTCTATCCCACAACCATGTGCTCTGTAATGTCGCACTATGTACGACGTTTGGATAACCTGCTCACATTTCCTTTTGTGTAAAGTTGGCATATTCTCAACACTGCGTGAAAGGAGGAAATTCAATTTCCTTCGATTCCTTCAAGGACAGATTTGTCGTCCATTCTAGGATATTTTCCTTCTCCCAGAATGGTGTACATGTCCTCGTGCTATGTATGTATTAGAAGTAAAACCTGCACTTTTACCAAAGTGAGGAGTGTATTATTGCTTACCCTGCCTGTTCCCTCCTCGTCCACCGTTTCCTCTTGGTGCATAGGCCATGCCTGAAAAAAACACTTGATTTATTCATTTATTTATAGTACCTCAAATGCCCTGCATGGGACATTACCACCTGAAGAACATTTGATGTCTGTTATCAGACATCGGCGAATCGATGAACTATATATCCAACTAGTAAGCCAATTAAAGAAAAAATATACACCCCTGTTCTTACATTATTCATTTTCTATTTCTTTTTGACGTGGACTCACTCATGAAATCGCGTTACAAATGCTCAGCGGAGGCCACCAAAGATCAGTGTGAATTTTCATCATAGTTTCATAACATAGACTTCATTCTACAGACCTTCACACTTTCAGAGTTTGAAGAGTGGGGTCAGTTGGCGCAACATATATAGTAATAGTAATACCTTGGTTGGTCAGATCGAACCAATGAAAACATAACTAAATTTTTATTTCCGAAGGAATGCCGAGATAGCCCCTACGTAGTGTTCTTGGCAATAAAGGTTGTTTCGCTACCATGGTCAAACAGTAGTCGCAATGGCATGGTTTTGCTGACGTTCACATTGTGGATCTTTCGAGGAACATCGATGGCGAGCATGTTCTGCTTGCCGAGATAGTCAATACCTGACGCCGTGTGGTGTTCTGTAGTGTCGCACCTATAGCATGAGCAGCCGATTGCGGACTCCACGTCTGCCGAAAATAAGGCAGAGTGCTAAAATTCAACCTTCACGAACATCCATCAGGACTGAGCCAGGCTGAAGACCGGCAATTGTGGTGCATGTGCCCACCTTTTATGCATTCAAAGCTTTGATACTTGCCAAGAAAAAGAGACAGACTGACAGATAGTCGATGTTATTCAGCTACTGATGGAGAACTTTGAAAACCCTTTCACAGAGGAGGGGCTATCATGGGCCGCTCCCATGACGGCAGCAGCTGCCATGCCTGAGTGCCCCTTAGCAGGGGTTTACAGTAATGCCGAAATGCAGTTGGCACCTCCTTCTTCTGTTTTTTTTTTTGGCCCCGCAGTCATGGCATAAGTGTCCTGGAATGCTCCAGATTGGACACGTCGCCTACGTATTCAATAGGTACCTCAAGACGAAGGTCATGCTAACAGAGTTGTGAAGGTCATAAGGCACCAAGATTTACACTAGCTTGCAAATTGCTGACATCCCAAAAGTGAATTTCTTGCGTGACACTCCACCCCTCACGATTTCACTCCCGTAAACATGAATGAACTTCACAACTTTCATCACTTGCTTTTTTGATTGGCGAGCAATTTGTTTCTTCGATGCGGAGTCTTCATCGCGAAGCCTGTTGAATTCCTGTAGGTTCGGGGATGACGGTTGGGTGCTTTGCAACAAAACTCTTGCTGTCCACGAGAAGGACAATGGCATAAGCACACGCTACGTATTGGAAGAAAACAGCGCAAAAACCAGAAACCAGACAGAGAAAGACCATACAGAACACTGACATTTGTTGTAAGTCAGCAATCTGTATGTGTCCTTCATTGTTTGGTTTCTTGTTTTTGGTGCTGTTTATTTTCAATATATCGTACCAACACGCCTAAGCGACCACTTTAGCATCAAACTACGCCTAAGTTCCAGCGTCGTTTGGCCGTTTGTGGCATGCAATCGAAGCAAACGATGCCAGCCTTTCTGCGGCCTTCTCCAATGAACAATTTAGCCACACAAATAACACCGACTCTCTCTGGTTGATTATTTGCTAGATGAATGACCGAACCCACAATGAGCAATGCGGCCTTGCCGTCCTCGAAAGGTTCACTGTCTTTCTGACGCGCTTCCACGAGTAGTAATGCACACCGTTCTCTTTTCTTTCTTTGGCCGTCTTGTACAGTACGTAGTCCACCACTGCCTTTCTACAATAATATTATCTACATTAGTCAAATTTTAAAAATAATTCCCCCAGTTTTCTACGCTTCGCAAAGGCTCGGAACAAAATTAGGAATGTTACAACTAGTCATGACAAAGAATGCTTCGAAGGATATAGTTAGTTTAATGAACACGCTTTCTTGAAGTATACACGTGAAACGAGAAACTTTTTAGAATTTAAGTCATTGCTATATAACAAAATGATCGGTAGGTTGTGATTATTCTGGGTGCTCCAACTTTCACGTATAAGTACGATGTTTTTTTTTTAGCGTGAACATGATGCCTACGACCTATAGTTTAGATATTTAAATACTCCAATATATGTCATCTTATTAGCATCGTAACCTTAAGTAGTCTTTCCTCAATTTATAAGACGCCGTATTTAAAAGTACGTAAAGTATAAAGCAATATCCTACCCATTGTTTCAAAATCAGCCTTCTCCTCCACTTTGTATATCTTGTGTGGGATATGGCCTTCGATAGAACGGGCTTCGTGTAATAAGGGCTTGATTCTCAGCTCGTGGCCAAGAACACCTTCCTGAACAGCACAACAACCACAAAGAATAATTTTTGAGAAACTGAAGGCGATGCTTTTTCCGACGAAAGCATGAAATTTCAATTGAAAGTTTCCATGAGTGGACAGCTTCAGGATGATATGATCGTGTCTACGAAATAAGCAATTTTCAGAAATCAAGACCAACTCAGCACAAAAAAGATGCGTAATTTATTACACATGCCCAAGTCAGTTAATGCACAGCTAACTGAAAGCTGCATTTCACGGAAAGACTTATATACAGCACATGAAGACTTTCATTTAGGTTTTATTCAAAGAAAGCCTGCTGAAATTGTGGCCACAAGTAACCTCCACAGTCTACGATTCCTAATACTTTAGGTGTGCTGATTTTAGTTCTAAAAAAGTTGCCTGTTGAATCAGTACTAAGTTTTTATTATTGTTCTTTCTTTTCCTCAAAAATTGCCGGGCTTGATCAAAGTGTCTTTCACCACCTCCCTTGTCGGTTGCAGCGTATTTCCTGAGAACCTTTATTATTATTGTCTTTACACATGATTGTTTGTGCAATATACGCTTTGTTTTGCAATAGACACTTGGTTCCACATTCCTCAGACGTGACATTTTTGCAAATGAATCTAGAGAAAGCAGCTTCATTCGAAACTGAAAATGTTCTGCTGCAATCGGGGAAAGAAGAAATGACTTACGACTTGCACCCCTCCTCCAATACTGCGTAACAAAACGGAAGACTGTCGGTGTGTGTCGTGGTAGAGATCCTTCTGAATGAAAGACGTGTCTACCTGCAACACACGATTATGTTATTCTGACTTCATAATCACTGTACAGTTGGAACATTTTTTAACTTCTGTATAAGAAAGCCTATTTATATGTCATATATAATCAGTCTACACTTACTCTTTCCACGTGGTCTTCTTCCTTACCGCTCGTAACAAAGAGTAGGTCATCAGCCAGCACAGAGCTCCTTTCAAGATTGAGCGTAATGTCTTTCGTAATCCTAACAACCAAGGATGCCCCATCTATCCTCTCTTCCAATATGGTTGGATAAGCGATGATTTCTTGTTCTTTCCTCTGCACAAAGTGTGAAACGCATTTGTCATCTCTCAGCGAAGTTCCAACCGTATACATTAAGAGTGTGATGAGACAGGCATTCCTGTATTTCCTGAACTTCAATATACCATTACAACTTGGTGTTGCCTGAACGTCTTAGATCGCAACTCTTATGCGCCTGTGCATGTGTTTCCAGCCAACCAAATGCTTTGTAATCACATAAATGCTTTGAACAGGAGTGAAAGAAGACGGGTGATTGAAGAGGTCAATAGAGATATCTAAAAATTAAGCCTATTCCGTGCTCGTTAGGTCTGTGCGAATAACGGAGCTGGCAAGCAAGCGGAATACTCTTGCAGTGCCTCCTTTATGCTTAGTCTAGTGATACTTTTTAAATTCATTCCCTCGGTTTACTTCTTCCTGTGATTTCTTCTTCTCCTCTCCTTCATCCTCATTTTTTTGTGTCCCTCTACATTTTGCACTCGTTTACCTATGCTTTCTATACTTTTATTTGTCTACGACACCGGCCTTTCCTGCTTGAACAACTGTGGTGTTAAAAATAGGCTCGATAGGAACTTACATGTTTTGTATTGTTGGTAATTGTATAATTTGCGAAGTGTTTATTTTAAGTTGTTGTTGATGTTATCAATCTTTGCCTGCATGAACAAATTGAGAGGTGAAGTATTGTAAAAGTGGCAAGGAAGGGGGAAGGGAAGCAATGAAAGGCAGGGAGGTCTACCAGACACGTGTTTGGTTTGATGCTCTGCAATTACATGTCAACTACGTGAATACGTTCAAATGCGTGGAATGTAAAAACGCATTTTTTTACGATGTCTGGTGCCAAACAATCTGGGACATTTCAATAAAAGTGCTTTGTAAGAAAACTTTTCACTCTGACAAGTGATTTTGCGCATCAGGAAAATGGCTGCTCGGCGAACATTTTAATGACGCACTTGATGCCTTGCTGTTGTCTCTGCACGTATTTTGGTCATGGTGTCAACATCGCTGGATAGTTATTTCCGTTGAGGTTTTCAAATTAGCTGTTGCTTCAGTTTTCGCAGCCTGCTGTTTCTGTATAACTACTTACTGAGTGGATTGAAACTGTCGCGTGCACTAGAGCACAGGCACATACGTTTGAACTTGCGCACCTTGTGAAGTGGTGCTGGACAATCAAGCGCCACAGGAACAGTCTTTCATCTTTCACCTAGTCACGTAGAGGCGCCATGATGATTTATTGGTGGGCACAGTGGCACTCTTTTCGACAGTCTATCACGTAGCATGACTTCACTTGTGCTCCGACAGTTCAGAATCCTGTTGACGTAGAACACCATGCCTTTTCCCTTAATTATTGCTACGGGGATCTTTCCAATGAGCATGTATGGATTCCATTCGTTCTTTCTGTATGTCCGTGCGGTTTCCGTTTGCACCCTATTTTTTGTTCCGTATTAATCTTTGTCCCGTATACTCTCCGAGTATTCTGTATCACCGTATGCGTAATATGAAATGCTAGATACTGACTCCCTTTTATCCTAACAGCTAGAACTGTATAAGCGTACGAATTTCTTATACCCCATTTGCGAGTCACCATATTGAGCTTACAATTTCTGTTAGCTTCCGGATACATCCGTAATAAATACATACTTGTTATACGACAAATATACGAAATCCATATGTACCTCTCAAAACCACATATGGAATTTCTCAGTAGGAAATTTGGCGACATGATGAATGACCTGGTGAGGCATGGCGCAGTAGTTTTCGCTCTTAAAGAAGTTCAACCACCCAGCTGCATTCTTGTGGGCACATAATTAAGGGTTTATTTTTTACAGTGAGCGAGGATGGTGTATCAAATTGCGTTCAATGAATGGCATCGCTGGCAGTACAAAGATTCTGAAATTGGCGCTCTTGCAGTCATTTGAAGGCTAATCTGCTAATCCTGCTATTGAGTTAGTTCGCAAGACTTTATGACAGTTGTCACTGCGAATAACACTCGTATGGAAAGTATGGACAAACACAACGCAAGAGCACAAGTTTTCTGCTTGCCTTTACGTCAGTTCTTGACAGCGCGGACAGTGATAAACTTTCGGGAGTTTGATTCAGTGGGTGGCTTCCATTTTGTTCATTAGGGATCCATTGAGTATGCTTAACTTGTTTATGAAGATTCCATAGAGGACTGTATCGAGTATAGTTTAAGAGTGCCGGAATAACTGGCACTGTGTTACTAAGAGATTTAAATTACGTGGTAGGCGTAAACGTCACTTCCTCATATGTTTAACCTTATCAACACGGTAGCGTCAAAGAGTCCGTATCGCAGACATTCCAGTGTCGGTATCGGCGACGATGGCGTCTTTGGTTGTGAGCGAAAGAACAGCGTTGGCCGTATCAAGGATTGGAGGCATAGAGGCAATGAAGGGAGTAGCTGGAGGGCATTTGTATTTTGACTGTCTTTGCGGCTGAGTTTGGGCATCCGCCAAGAATCGTATGCACGTACAACTCTTAAAGGCAAAGTTTAAGAGCCTCCCAATATTTGCGAGAACAAAGACATGCATGCAGCCGGAAAAATACTTGAGATGGATATACCGTACAAAAATATTACTAATATTATTATACAACTAAAGCCCTAGTATGGCTTTCTGATCATATTTGCACATTTTCAAAATTTTTACGTGCTACGACATTTTTGAGCGCCAGGTAGTCAAAATTGCAAGTTTGGAGAGACTTACAAGGGGAAGCGCTCGTACAAAACAGTAAGCAAAGAAAAAATAAAATCAATACGCAAGGCAACTCTGCTGTTCAACGTTCGAGAAACACTATTTTGAATTCCTTTGAATTTTGCTTTCTCGAAAACTTGCCCCGCCGTGGTGGTCTAGTGGCTAAGGTACTCGGCTGCTGACCCGCAGGTCGCGGGTTCAATTCCCGGCTGCGGCGGCTGCATTTCCGATGGAGGCGGAAATGTTGTAGGCCCGTGTGCTCAGATTTGGGTGCACGTTAAAGAACCCCAGGTGGTCAAAATTTCCGGAGCCCTCCACTACGGCGTCTCTCATAATCAAATGATGGTTTTGGGACGTTAAACCCCATAAATCAATCAATTTCTCGAAAACTTGATCTTGACATCTACTCACTTGCGCAACAGCAGAGCACGATTTGAAAGATTATAGCAATCCCAAACATGTCCCGTAAGTTCGTGTAAGTCAGCTGATTATTAGGCATTGATATAGGAACCAATGTTGTGTCGACACTGTGGTCTTCCAAAGGAGGGAGCCTATACGCCTATAAAGATATTGCTGCTTCTGACATGCGTTGAAAAGTTCACCGCGAATGCAACGAATCTTGATAAACAGTGGTGAGTTAGTTTGTCGATGGTTCAGCTCGTAAAAGCTAGGGCGAAGCGGGCACAGCGGTGATGGCTTTTCTTTTTTTTTATGTGTCCTTTTCGCCCTTGTCTTCCACGTGCGCTGCCGTAGGCGACAGAATCAGTAGCCGGTTAAAGTCAAGGCCTTTGTTCCCCTTTGCGTAAGTCTTGACTGATCCAGCTTTGTGCTTTAGAATGCCATGGCGATGCCCTTTGATCCGAAATGTGTGATAGACTAAATATAACCTGTCATGAGAAGTACATAAATTTCCGCGTTTACTTGGTACATCGCAGGTTCGACTGACCGATTGCGTCCAGAAATAAGACCGTTTATAATGTCAAGTGCCCCTTAACAGGGTGGGCTTCACGGACTAGTGAAATCATATTCTTCAGCTGCCTGCTACGATGCAGAAGCATAGTGGTGATGCTCACGTTGTTTATTTAGAAGCCCACGCCATTCTCCGCAAGGAGACCATACTGGCCAAACCGGAAATTGACTGCTCCACCGTTTTGCTCCCCATGAACTCTTAAGCAAATGTCTTTAATGCAGTACATAATATTGATGCTGACATTAAGGTTCTCAAAAGTAGCACCCAGGTTACAAACTTGCTGATACTCGCAGAATTACGCCCATGTAGTTCAGAGGAAATTCGAACCTTGAAGAGATGACAAAAAAAAATCGTGAAGACGGGTTGTCGCTGTGGAGCTGACGTTTCAACGAGCGCGTTTGCGTTCTTCAAGTGAAAGCTTTGGAGAAGACTATTGCACCAGTAGAAACTTATCATCCCGTGAAATTCTGTGTTTTACAGGTTTTTCCTCTCACGTACAAAACAGCAACCGTCATAAAATAAAAGCCTAGTCATTGATAGCGGTGAGATTTTTCAGGCTGACGTTTATAGCACTTGTTTTGCCGGGAGGCTAAATCCATTAGGTCGCGAAGCTTTAGTCAGTTGCTTTGTGTATCATTTTTTTCGCGAAAATTTAGGGTTGAAATCCGTCAAAGTGGCTATGTCAGTACTTATAGCAGTATTATCAATTCTCACCATACCGGTGGTTCCTAGAGGTGATTTGCCAAAATAAATACTCTTTCACTAGTATCATCAGCCACGTGTGAAAAGCCCCGGCGAGTCATCCATATTGAGGTCTTCCAGACATAGTGCATGCCTTAATAAGGTCAGGAAATCGGTACAAGTAATCTTCGTATTCTTGTCTATTTTTCGTGGATGGAGTGCGATTGGCGGTACAGAAGGCATACAGCTCGCGCTGAACAGTAGCAGTAGTAGCTCGCTCTGAACAGTATTAGGTAAATTAAATGAGCGCATCTTTTGGGGATGATGCAATTTGCAAGCGAGCTTTGCATTTATGTTTAGCCCCATGGCCTTCACAGGTGTGATCCCTGGCATAACAAGAACTTGATTACCGGTGCCTAATAATGTTCCAGCCCCTAAAGATTTGAATGCATAGCATTTTTTTTAGCAAATCAAACGCAGTGTCACCAATTATATCTATATATTCATCTAAACAAATGCGTTTTGGCACTTTCGTGGTCACCTCCTTAATTAGGCATGTGCCAACATTGACGCAGGAGGACTTCAGAAATAATAAACACGACTCGAAAATCATGAAGTCACTGTTTCCATAGGTCACGGAATCATTTCAACGAAATCTCCTTTTTTCATCTCCGCCATTCAGTTCCCCACGTGTATACAATTTGGAAGTAACTGGACTATACGCGTAGCTATAAAGTTTGTCTCAGCTAGAAAGAATACTTCATACTCACCTCTCTATCTCACCATCGCCATCCATTATTTTTTCTTTTCCCCTTTCCCCTCCCCCAGTGTAGAGTACCAGGCTAGAGCAAGCTATGGCTGAGGCCGACCTCTCTGCCTTTCTGTAAATAAACCTATCTCTCTCTCTCTCTCTCTACTATAGAAAACCGATTGTTGTGAACTAATTAACCTCCCAGTCTCTCCTCCTCTACCATTTACCCACTGGTGCAACACAGCACGGAAAGCACTCAACGTACGGAGTACAAACGACAACGATGGTGCTGTCGTTTGTGTTCTGTCTGTTGCGTGTTTTCTGTGCGTTAGTGGCACCATAATGTAGAGTGCCTCGATGCTGGCACGCGTGTCGAGCCACCCTACCGAAACATTGTTAGCCCCACTCACCACATCATTCTATTCCCTTTCTTTTCTACCAATAACGAGGGACACACACGCAAGTGCATGTGGGTATAAAATGGATAGTGGTGTGCGCCGCAGGCATACGTCAACCCAGATTTGGGAATGTTGCACAAATGGCTACACCATTTCCCGCTGAAGGCGCTGCTTCGCACAGCGGCTTTAGCGGGAGCCTGAGATGGTGTAATCATTTCCGCAACCTTCACGTTTGTCGCTGTCGCATTCAGTGCTCTACCCTCGTGGCAAAATGTTTTCTATCTTCTTTCTGGTTTCGTAGAATATGTGACAGCGTTTTCTGTGGGATAACAACCGCAAAATAAGCCAGTCGCAAAGCTACAAAAGCTTGCGGGATTTCCTTTTTCGGCGCGATATCTGAAGAGCACCTTTTAAAATTGATTTGCTGAGGTGACTTTTTATCTCGCCTTTGCCTCACCCTTGTAGTCTTCATTCATGTACGGGAAGCGACGTTAAGAAACGGGAATTGCATTCAGCGTGTTCTACCTCAGAGCTACGCCAGGCCTCGCAACTGCTTTTTAAACAAACTTCGATGTTTTGTTAAGCATCAATTATGGAGGCAGTGATGACTGTTAGCTTTAAAAACATCCAACGATACAGCCGTACCGTCGGGTTAAGGGCCGTTCCAGGCGCTTCCCGCACAGCCGCAACGCACGTGCCGTGACTCCTACCGCCCGCTAGCGGAGGACAAATAAGCCAATTGGCGACACTGCGGAGGGTGAAAGAGCGTCGCCGATTGGCTTATTTGTCCCCCGCTTGCGCGCGGCAGGGGTTGCGCGCAGCAGCTTGCGTTGCGGCTGTGCGGGAAGTGCATGGAACGGCCCTAAGACCAACTGTACTTAGCCCCGATGCGTTGAAGGTGATTGACAGGTTATATCATCCAAGGAACGGCACGAATAGACATTGGTAATTTTGATTTGCGGGCGTTAAGAAAAATATTATAAAATCATTGCATCTTGACTAAGTCAGCGACGACGATTGGGTAAATGTAAAGGTCCCAAATGTCCATAATATCGGTTGAAGTCGCCGACTAGTATAAGGATGGACACATGTACAGACAGCGCCTGGATGGACGATTATACAGATGGGTGGATGAACAGATGGATGGATGGACAGATAGACGGTGATCGCGCCTTGTGCTGCTCGAAACACATAAAGTTGGCTTTTTGCTCATTTTTCATTGCTGTGCAGGTGTTCAGTTTCGGTTTGGGTTTTCTTGTGCGTGATGGTTGGCCTAAGAAGCTTTTTCCCTGAAATTTGGCATCGGTAACGTTGACCGAATGAACGCATAGAACAAATATTATGATTCTAGCAGGAATCAGACCCCAGCGTTCCACACGGCACTGAAGTATTCTACCAGACAACCATGCCAGGTCTCGGAAGTGCTTTTCAAGTAGACCGTAATGCTCTTCAAACGTAAATTGTGGTTGCAGTGCTGACTATAAAGTCCTGGATGCAATATATACGTAGCTCTATTATACTGCTGTCATGTCGGGCTAGCGGCAATGGTTGTGAAGAGCCATCTACTGAAGCCCATTTGTGTAGCAGTGTCCACGGCCGCCATCCTCGCTGGCACAAGCGCCACATATCAGCATACCACGTCTGGTGTTGCCAACACCTATGTTGCTGCTCGCATCGTTACGCAAGAGTAAACATTCTACTGTTAAGTGCATGTCTCAGCGTACGTCTGTGAGTATTTTTAGCGTAATTTTGTAACGTTTCACTCAGTTAAAAAAATACAACACAGTAACCTTCCCTCGGGCTGCTTCGCATAACATCGACTCCCAAGGTACGTGGGACCTGCCGAATTTTTTTTATTATGATTACCATTATCAACTCCACTTTCATACGCCTGTTTTCGTCCACTGCAATATGACATCATCTCCCGGTGCTCTCTGTTTTACCCTTCTATGGAAGCTGATTCAGCTTTGTCTCTACGAACTTCTCGATTTCATCACTCACTGTAACTGACTACCTACCTTAACCGCATTTGTTACTCCGTGATAACCATTCTGTTGCTCTTACTGTCTACCTGTTGTTTGTTCTTCACATTACTTGACCATCCCGGGTTCATTTTTTTTTCCCTTGGTGTCGACTAGTTTATCTCCAACGTCTGCCTGCTCTCTCCTCCATTCAACCGTCTTCCGATCTGTCTATGTTATTTATATCATTCTTCTTTGCATTACATGCTCCGTGGTCCTCAGCTTTTACTCTAGGTGTTTTGTTGTTCTCTTAGTTTTGGCCCCTTATGTTGCAACTGGCTGTACACAGTGGTAGTATACGTTTCGCTTTAACGATAGTGGAAGATTTCCTTATAATATTTGGGAGTTCTTGCCTAATGCGCTCCTGCTACTTCTACCAGTACCAGTGTGTTGTTCGGTGAATGTTTGTTGTGATTAGGTTATCACGCATGTAGTTGTCCTAGGTATGCGTATTTTTCTACAAACTGCAATGAATGTTTTTTCAATTTGAAATATTTTTGTTTCGCCAGGCCATTGAACGCTATCGTTGTTTTGCTCACATTTCGCTTGAATAAAATATTTGTTAAAGTATAAACACATCTCGGGTTCTTAATAGCACAGTGTCAAGTCTACAGTGTCTTGAAAGCCAGTACTAGATCAACTACGGCGATTAAGATTCCGGCGTGTTTATTTTGGTTTTCTTCTTCCAGGAGGTTCAAGTGCGGAGCTCCGAAATCTAACGCAATTGTACAGTCGAAGCTAAATGAGATTTTGTTAAGTGCTTTATTGTCTTCATAAAAAAGTCTGCGATGGATTTTTTTTTGAAGTTGCGGTAATGCCTTCTCATTTTTTTTTAAATCATGGAAGGTTGTGCTGTGCACATACGCCCCTTTTGCAGGTCTGAAAGATAAAACAGAAGGGATATTGACATATTTGCATTTCATGTATACATGACCATGTTGTTTGCGAGCAACTTTGAAGCGTCACTTTCAGAACTACGAATCTGACGTTTTGCACCATCGATAATTTAGAAAAAAAATAAGCCTGAATCATGGGAGGTCATTTTGTACGATTCCTAGAAAGGGGGATCAGCCACTTTTTTCATGATCTTGCTGTAGTTCGTGATAACACTCGACGGGAACTTTGCTGTCTGGAGGTATTTAGTGTACATGGAAATCTAGTGTAGATGTACTCGAGTGAGGGTGAATGTGGATGTAGCCTCCAGTATATTCAAAGCACAATGAAGCGTGTTGACATACAGTACTACTGTATTCTATGAAAATACTTTAAAAGTATAACAGTACTGTGGCAATCAGCAATTATGGACACATGATGCAACATTAGGTTTACATATATGAAAAGGATGTTTGGTTCAGGTTCTTAGCGGCTGAGACAGAACATGGGTTCATTTGAATGCTCTCTTAAGCAACAATCAATAGTAAAAAAATGCTAGTCAAGCAGCTGACTAATTGTACCGTGACGCTGTGGCCACTTCCTGGTTGATAAAGAGATACCATGAAAAGGTGAATTTTTCGTCCTTATTTATTAATGAATATTTTGTGAAAAAAAAACGATAAGGGGATCTACGTCCTTCACAATGCCCTCACCGGCAAATCAAGATTAGTGTTTGAAAACGGATACACTTTAACTGCGGGAAAAGTTGCACGCAAACAAAATCGAGTACTGGTTCTGAATGATGGCAATTTTTCGAAAAGAGGATCAGCCTTTAGGTGCAACGCCTTTTTCGGGGCAGCCGACGTTTATGCACAAGTGAAACTCAAAGCACAATAAATTGTTTTCACTGATGTAGGCACTACTATCAAGTTTTCTAAACAAAAATATACTAGGGTCCCGGAGGATGTATCTCAGAAGATAACATAAAATACAAACCTTGCCTTCGCCGCATGACATTCCTGTTAAAATGTCTACATGCGAACAAACGAATTTGGCTGGTGTCTTATAACAGCACTCCATTTTGCACTTCTTTTTGAGCGTCGGATTCTACAGAAACAGTACAAACAGACACCTCATATTTTACCTTTTTATGTAATCTATCGCACTGACTGTCGTCACAAAATGAGATTCGTGTCACGAAATCAACAGTTTATTCCCTCGTACCATACGCGACTGAAATAAAGGGCTCGCAAATATTTCACACAGTGACAAGGTGCTTGATTAGGCTGCTTGGTGCTGCATGTAGACGAAGAAAGCGCTTAACAGCGCAAACGACAGGAGGGGATAGAAGAGACGAGAACAGAGCACTCTGTTCTCGTCTGTTCTATCCCCTCCTGTCGTTTGCGCTGTTAAACGCTTTCTTCGTCTATCACACAGAGATAATCAGCACTACCACAAGTCAGCGTGCAAGATTTCATACTCAGGCTGTATGCGGCTTACTGCACGCATTGTAGCCCCGCATCTATAGCAGGGGTTGTCAACACTGCCTAGGCCCTGCAAACATCCTGTTCCACGTGATATGGAGCCGTCGAAAAAACCCCACTATTCTCATGGATAAATAGAGTGTACAAAGAGCTGCAGAATACAAGTGGGAGGCGTTGCTGACGTCGGTATACACTGAGGAGCAGCTCCGGCTGGTGGAGAGGGCTCTGGCGTTGGCGGCTGGCCGTGGCAGGCCGGACTGGTAAAAGACAGTTATAGTTTACAGTTAGCGAGGTAGTGGAGGTTAAGGAAATGGCGTTACCGTGCAGCAAACGTTCGCTGTGAACGCGTCTTATAGTTTAGCGGAATAGCGTTTACGTGATTTACGTGCCCTAGCTGGGACGGTGCCGCCACCTATCGGATGATTAATCAGTTAAAGGCAGCGAAAAGGAAAAGAAAACGAGAATGCTTGCCTATGCCACCGGCCGAAGCATTGTTACAAGTTTATTTTACTAATAATAAAAGCAAATAAATAAGAACCACGCACCAAACGCGAAAAAATTATGTTGCCGATTTGTTCACATAGATATTGTAGCTAGGTCATGGAATGACCATGAAATGACCATTAGGCCATGAAATGGCCCTTGCACCACAAAACATCAAACAAAATCATAGACACGTTCGAAATGGGAAGCTATCGCAAAAAATACGCCAACTTATTCCGTAACACCCGTTCATCGAAGCTAATTGAAGGCAAGCGAAGCCACTTTATACAGTCTTTTGGTGCAAACAAGGTGGATATTTAAACAACTACGCCAAAATCACTTTGAAGCAGGTGTCCGAGAGCACCGCCATGTTTACGTTCACTACGTGCACTTACGCTACCACAGTAACCTTAAATCTGAAAAATACCGCGCGTACGGTAAGCGGTACGGGTAACGTACATATCTGCGCATGCGCACTTCGATTTCGGTATCATGGCACGCCCGCTATCCCGGTAAGCCCGGTATACTATAACTGTCTGAAGTCACCCATGTCTGGGCGATAAGAACGCGCGTCTGGTCTCGAAATAAAGTTCAGTTCTCTCTCCGACTTCTTTCATTATAGACGTACGTGCCTTCATGGTTTATTGCGCAATGCGGGCACTCATATTATCTTTCTTCAGGTGACAGAATGTATACCATGTGCTAATTTTATAATCTACATATATGATGCATATTCAGTCACCTTCCACGTGTGAGAGTGCACCTGCGTTACCATTCTCTTCTATTGCCCATGTTTTATACGGCGCCCCACTTTTTGCATTTAGAAAGAATATTTAACAACTAGCCCAAACGACTGTTGATGCGCCATACCAGGTCCCACAGCATCACGAAAAAGGGCTGGAATTCTCGGCAATGGCAACAATTTTCGAGGCTCAGCAACATTGATACAGGTGGCTTTAACGGCAAATGTTCGAAACATTCAGATTGTGTGACATGTGGTACTCACATCCCAAACGACCCATTTTACTCCACTTTTCTTCAACAGCTTCCTGCAGTAATACGTAGCGCGCACCGTTTGCCCAGGATATTTCTTGTACTTCTTCATGTAGTTCATCTTCGTCTGCACTGCCTTGCATTCCGGTTTAAGGTTTCTGCAATACGTAACATCACGTGACAAGGGTTACAATGAATTATGACCGAAGTCAACGTAGCATTTTTTTTTTCGGGTCATGAACAGGTAGTCCGGCAACGTTTACGCAGAATACACGTTCATTCCCCGAAATATATTTATGACACCAGTGACACCCTATAACACGCATTTCTTTTCATGTACAAGTGTCACACGGCCCACTGAGAGAACTGAAATAAATATGTCCATGAACGTAAAAGACAAGCTTTTGAAATGCAAGTTCCCTGTTGTGTACTATTTTCATGTGCAGACCCTAATCCCGCTTGCCCCGCCGCAGTGGTCTAGTTGCTAAAGTACTCGGCTGCTGACCCGCAGGTCGTGGGTGGCTGCATTTCCGATGGAGAATGAAATGTTGTAGACCCGTGTACTCAGATTTGGGTGCTCGTTAAAGAACTTCAGGTGGTCGAAATTTCCGGAGCCCTCCACTACAGCAACTCGTAATAATATGGTGGTTTTAGGACGTTAAACCCCACATATCAATCAATCTAATCACGCTTACAATACTGAGATTGGTAATTGCGAAACACGCCTGAAGAAACACTGTGGGTTGCAAAAAAAATGCAGAAAGTCAGCTGTAATATGCTTTCTGGGAGTTGCAGAAATAAGATACTGGCTTGGCCACTCTGTATATATGTGCTAATGGCTAAAGCAAATCTTGACATTAGAAGTGGATCTCGAGTCATTATTAATTATTATTAGTGATCAGAAGAATAACCGCGATAAAAGCACACTTTCTTGTGTTCATGCACGCTGTTAGCGCCATCTCTTTGCACGGACTTTAACACCCCCTGCTTATTTCATGGCTTTCTTGAGAACAAGGACCCTGTACGGAAGCCGAAAAATCTCCTATATTGAAGTTTCTTTTTTGCATTTGGTTCGCGACTTCTGTACCTTTGACCATGACAATTTCGGACGAAAGAAGTTTTCGTTGAGCTCTAGATTTGATTTTCTATGAGCACTTGCCGAGGGTCCCTCCACAGTGTCTGTCTAAGGGGCCTTTATTTGTAGATTATCATGATATGTATCAGCGTACGAAAGAAATAAGGAAAGAAACTTTAACCTTCAGTTAAGAAATACGTGGAAATTATTATCAATAGGTAAATCATAGCTGCATGTCGAGTTGTTCTGTCGTAAGATAATCGAACATTTGTGCAATAACTCAACGGCCTAGATTTCGTCTTGCTTCAACGTATAGTACATTGTGAATCACATTACGCCACAGGAGAAATGCTACTTACTTGTAGACATCTCGCATAGACTTCTCACTGCAAGGCGATAGGCGATACTTCTTGAGGCCTCCGTCCACGTAACTCATCAGGTATCCTTCTTCCCAGGGGCACTCGGGGCTTTGATCGTGGGCTGAACCCATGCTGTAGAAAAAATATTCCGTTTGTTCTTGTTTATTGTGGGAAGTATGCGGGCACTGTTTGTGGGCCTCTGCCTTCACCATCACCGTCACCTAAAGAGTACTGCCCGGATGCTGCTGATGAACATGGTTGAAGCAGAGAGAAAACAACCTGGTTGTCTCTTCTGCGCTAAGGATACATAAAATGACAATCTATGTACCAGTCATGCCTATAGTTTAACGTTAAATGTATTGCTGTGGCAATCATTCCTTCCACTGCAGGTGAAACTTCGATTTCTTAAGCCAAACACCGACGTTTTTATATAATTAAAATGTACTTACAGATGGCCTAGCTCGTGGGCCACCGTATAAACTCCCGAGAAAGTTGTAGGAGTGTCTTCACCCTCGCCAACCCTCGCCTCGGTGCAAAGTGTGCCACGGAATGCAAGACCTGTAGAATACAGTTTTCGTTCGGAGTTATCAAGTTGTTCACTATTGTCATCACAGACTATAGTATACGTCGAAAAAGGCGGAGGTTATAGGATAATGTGTCAAAATGGTAAATGACACTTTAGTTTGTCCACTTTAGTTACTTTAAATTTAAGTAACAATTGTTCACTACAGTTTGCAAACCGCAAACTTCTAGCTCAATTATAATCTTTGGATTCCATTACTTTTATTTCATTTTTGTGTTTATTTGAGACAAATAAAAAACAAAAATATGTACATTTTTCTTGTCTAGGAGTGTGATAAAAAAGCACAAATGCCTGACTGAGTGTCACATTCCTTTCTACACGCTGATACCCCCCCCCCTCTCCCTACCAATCACAATCGTCGGTCATCACTTACATCGCATAAGGGACGTGGCGCTCTTTGACCTCTCATAACCCTTGCTCCACAGATCTCTACTGTTCATCACCATAACTCAAATAACAGAGGTAATTATATGAGCAAGATAATACGTGCACGACATAATTAGTAATATATGGGCAATAATAATGCAATTAGACAAACATACAACAGTGCTACAGAAATATATATAGAGCTGGAAGAAAACTTAGAATTGTTCCTAAGAACAATCAGTCGTGTATAATACAGCAAACAAGCCTCTCACACAATTGACCGACTTGTGCTCTTTTTAATAACGTATGCACACCAAAGCTATTACCACAAGCAATGAGTAGTCTGAAATGTGATTGTGAAAATTGTTGCACGTACCGACTAATTCCTTGCCAATTTTTCCGCCATTCCTACTGAACATGTCCAGCCTGAAATAATGTTGCCCATGTACGTATACAGTAACGTACACAAATATGACGCTATATTCTCGACAAAAAATATATAAGGCAAGCGTGCCTATTTAAATGACTGTGACTAGGGGCCTAACTTCAATTTGAATGGCTTTACTTTTAATCTCACATTGTTCAGATTAAAGGGGCGAGTGGAGCTTGTTCACACAAACAGCGCCTCCTCCATATTTTATATTCTAACCAGATGCACCTGATACAGCCATTCAGCACCCTCTCCTCTAGCCCTTTCTTACCCTCATTCATCACGTAGCTTTCGCATCTGCTTTGCATTGATGGCGGAGAGTAGCCTGTAGCCTGTTCATTCCTCTTCAGTAGCCTGTTCACTGTGAGACACTACGTCTCACGATGAAAAAAAAAAAACATGAAGTAATTTTTGCGCTTTTGTGTACAGATCCGTGGTGCAGAGAGTGTTTTGCATCTTTTGTGTTCCTTATGTCGGCGTTCACGCTAGTTCTGTTGAGTTAGCGCGTCTCCTTTCGTGGCGCAAAGCGGGCAACTAATGGATAAGCGTCACTGTGATTGATTGATTGATTAGTGGGGTTTAACGTCCCAAAACCACCATATGATTATGAGAGACGCCGTAGTGGAGGGCTCCAGAAATTTTGACCACCTGGGGTTCTTTAACGTGCACCCAAACCTGAGCACACGGGGTCACTGTGAACCTGCTGCATGAGCTATGCTCAAGCGGGGAGAGGTGGCAGCGGCAGTGCTCCGAGACACCCAGAAGGAGCACGAAAGTACAACTCAAACAGATTCATGATATTGGAAAGGGAAGAGCGTTTATTTAAAGTCCTGTATAAAATATGTTGAAGCAAGACTGAAAGTTGGGCTAGTTTGTGATACATTATGGCCCTTAAAATATATTTCCTATTCGTGGGAAAGTGCTCAGGCGCAGGTAGGATGCAAGCAGCTCAAGGAGGTTTGAAAGAAAAAAAAATTGCTGGAGTCAACATTATTGCCCAGGAGCGAAGTTGGACCCACCAATAAACGGCGGTGGCGGCTGCCATCTTACTGGGAGCACGAAGAGCTGTTGGTGTTCGGCGAATGAGAAGAAGCGCCTTCTTCGCACGCCCAACGAGTTTAGCGTGGTAACTTTTTCGGGTCAGATAGGGCTCAAAGTGCGCCTGTATGTTACTAGTTTTCTTTAGTAGGCCTTGCACTGGAACACATCAATTCAGAAGAAAGACCAGGTAAATGGGCTGTGTTTTCTGACTCAAAACCAGCGTTACAGTGCCTGACATCAGTTCTCCGACGCGGATGCCACGACCAGTTGACCTACCAAACCGTGAAACTTCACCACCTGTTAATGCAAAAAGGCCATGACATCGTCTTTCAGTGGTTACCTGGGCATAGTGGTATAGGCGGCAATGTTTCTGCAGATCACGCTGCTCGCACGTCACATAAAGAAGCGAACAGCGTTCCGATACCGCTTTCAAGAGCGGATGCGGCAAGGCAGATTCGTCAACTGGCCCGCAGTCTCACACTGACTGAGTGGAACACACCAAGCATACGACGTACACGACTGCACGAGCTCGACCCTTCACTACAACTCCGGCCTCCACCCGGCCTACATCGACGTGAAGCTTCGCTTCTCTATCGCCTTTGGCTGGGAGTTGCTTTCACGAAAGCTTATACCACGTTAATCAGAATTACTGACAGTGCGGCGTGCGATGTTTGCGGCACCGACGAAAATATCGAACACCTGCTGTGTCATTGTCCTCGATTTGCCTCAGAGAGACAAGTACTTGCCAACGCAATGCGGCGACTGGATGATCGGCCTCTTTCTGTGCAGGTGCTATTACAGCAACGTACACATGCCTCGACAGCCCACAAGGCAGTGAAAGCCCTGCTGCGTTTCCTGAGAAAGACAGGCTTGTGTGAACGCCTCTGACATGCGGTAGAGTTCTACACGCTGCAGTGAAATTACTGTCAGTCTCTTTCCCACCCCTTTTTTCCCTCTCTTCCCTCTTTCTCGTCTTTCTTGTCCCCTTCCTTTACCCCCAGTGTAGGGTAGCCAACCGGATGTTTTTCTGGTTAACCTCCCTGCCTTCTCCCTTTTTGTTGCTTCCTCCTTCCTTTAGTAGGCCTTAACTTCAAGGCGATTTCATTAGAGAGTAAGCCACCTATACTCGTCTCTGTGTTATTTCAACCGAAACAACCATTTTTTTTTTAATTTATGACTAACGTGGTCCTTATACGAACAGATCAAAGCCACTTAATCTCTAAGCGGGCCATCAGTAAAGAGCATGCTTCTGAGATCTTCGGAGGGCAATATCTGGCTTCGCTATTGCTGGCAAAGCATTGCGGGAGCTTTCATTCCAGTCATTCTATTTAAAACCTCAAAGCAGCCGTATCATTAAGTGGCGTCGCGTCGCGACCACTCTCCGAACTAAAGCCAATGGCTCCTCGATCGGAGCTGAAATCAAGGAGAAGAAATGGACATTGGCTGGGCGCGTAGCGTGTATGCTGGATAAACGCTGGTCATAAAGGAAACTGACTGGATTCCAAGAGAAGACAGACGCGTGAGAAAGAGAGAGAGAGAGAGAGAGAGAGAGAGAGAGAGAGAGAGAGAGAGAGAGAGAAAATTAGGTGGTGGTTGATTTGAACTCCCTTTGAGGAGCGAGTGCTTCCACTGGCATCGAAAGAGATGGAGGAGGTGCTGCTACTGCAGTCATGCACTACGCATCCGTAGTGGGTGACGACTGTGTCCCACCATAAATGCATGTGCAATTTATGAATAAAGGCTTCTGGAAGTTCAGTGGTCGCCATCGTCGTTTGTGTAGCAGCCGTTTTTTTTTACTTCATTGAGCCGGAGTGATAATATTCAACCCATAAAACTTAAGGCATGCGCAGTTAAAGATTATCGTGTCAGCGAAACTTTGCTCTTGATCAAATTTGCATTTTTGTGCTGTTTATTATCAACAATCATATTTTATAACATTGACGGATCTACGATATAGCAAACTGGCCTAATCGCAGTAAACGCCATGACATGGCTAAACGAGGAGACCAAATTAATATCCCTACTTAACACATGACCGCTAGGAAACGTTATTTCTTTCATGCTCATAACTAACTTATTATAATCACATATCCTTGTTGACACCGTATTTAGCAGAGCTCAACTTTCATACTTGCGTTCATCTATACTAAATTGCGTTGCTGATGTACGCGAGCACTTAGAACGATGTATTCGTAACGCTTACCCAGTCATGAGGAAGAGGATGTCGGGGTTTCCTGGAACTTTTCCATTTTTTATGTACCTTTTCATACCTTGCAATGTCTCTGACGCATCCAAGAGGCCTTTTTCTACTGCGGCGAATTCATCATTCTGGGTTAGAAATGACGACACGATGTTTCAGTGCAAACACTCACATGTGCTCACACGAGGCAATCGTTTATGTTTCGACAACGTGGTGGACCTATTGCTCGCCTTATGCGATTTCTTGTGGGATGATTCCTGGCCTTCCCTGTGAACACAATAATCTGCATGCAGTATTCGGGGCCGATAGATTGTTAGATCCTGAAAGGTTAAGAGCCCGATCGTTTATATGATTATGAGGTACGCTATTGTGGAGGACTTCAGAATATTTAAGACTACCTGCGGTTATTCGCCTTACCTATACGACTACATGTTAGCCGATAGTTGTCAGCCCAAGCGGTAAATAAGTGCGAATGTTGCCTATTCATTTATTCATATTTATTTATTTATTAAATACCTGCATCTTTCCAGTAGCTATCATAGCAATGGGTTACAATCAGCAAGAAACAAAGTAATCACACCCAAGAAGTGCGGTAGGGTGCATCGTAGATACAAAATTGTTGCAGTGTTAGACGATATATTATCCTGTACTCTTATGGCTCATGCAAAAAAGAATACCTGAAAACGTCACTTCTGAAAGCATCCTCTCGTATTTTAGTGCATGGTCGCTTTTTGACGACACGTAAGCGAGTGGCTTGATGTATCTTTCTGGCTCGATGCCAGTTTTCCGATAGTGCACAGAGGAAGAAGATCGAGGTAAACAGCGCAAAAAACGAAGACAGAGGGAAGGAAGGACACATGACGAGCGCTCGTCTTGTGTCCTTTCTTTTCTGTCATCGTTTTTGCGCTGGTGTCCTTCCTTTTCTCTGTCTTCGTTTTTTGAGCTTTTTACCTCGACCAGCTATGAATTGTTACCAACTTTCCCAGTCTTCAATACTACTCAAAGGAAGAAGAATTACAGACTAAGGTTCTTTTCACTGGCCCTGCATCGTGCCTGGCACAATAATTCACGCTTACTTTTCACCATTCCTAATATTGTTCTCTAATGGTCCGCCTCAAACCTCGCTGTCTTTTTTTCCGACTTTTAAAGCTGCTCAGTTGGAAAATTATCAATTTCAACCAGTACGACTGTAATTAGGAATACTTAGAATGTAAGTAAAGTACGACTCTGCCCTTATGGGTATCACTGAAATCACGGCGAAGAAAATTCAGCCTATCTATTGTCTCATTCTTGATGTACGGAATGCGTCTATCTCATCTTAGATCAGGCGTTATCGAGCGTACCCACACATTTATCATCTCCAGAAAGGAAGCAGAAGAAAAAAAGGCACGGAGGTTAATTAGGGCTGAGGCCGGTAGGCTACCATGTACAGAGGGGTGTGGGGAAAAAGTTAATCTATAGTTCTCCTTAAGGTGATAATAATTAGTGCCCACAATCAAGATTGAAATATGTTTTCTTTGAAAAGGTGACGTCAACACACTTTTTCATATTTAACATTTTTCCCTTTTATAACATCATGATCCTGTAATGCCTGAATCAGCCCGCAGAAAGATGACCTATTTGTCAATTTGTCTAGACCTATAAACGACGTGGTCATCCCCAAACATACTTATTAAAGACCTGACGTCATTTGAAGTATATATATATATTAAACATCATGAACAAAAAGGGCTACGAACCGATTCTTGTGGGGCAACCGAAATAACTAGAGCATATTTCGGAATAAAATCCGTTGATAACCGCAATACGCCAGTTTACCTGAAGATAATGAACAAACTATGCGATAATAATAACAACCAATTTTGAGGCCCAAAATTTTTAGACGAGCATGCCTTACGTGACTATATCAAACGCTTCCTCAAAGCTAATTATATGCAGTCTAATATTGGCGTCTTATCTATCACTGAAACAAGATCTGAGAAAAACCTCAGGCAGTTCGATTGAACAACAAAAACCGTATCGAAAACTGTATTGACTAGAGCCAAGGAGGCAATGCTTACGTTCTACACTGTCGATCTTTAAATTACATGCTCCATTAATATGGATGTTATAATGTTCAAAAATATTGGCCTTGCAATCTATTATGGGTGTCTTATCTGTCACTGAAACCAGATCTAGAATTCAAATAGTTAGGCTGAACATCAAAAACCTCGTCGAAAACCGTATTGACTACAGCTAAGAAGGATATGCTTCAGTGTGGCCTTATCGATCTATAAATTAAGTGCTCCAGTATTGTGTACGTTAATATCTTCGAAAAAATTGGCCTGTCGTTTTCAAAACCATTCGTTACTCCAATCCACCTTTGTGATTAAGTACAATACGTGTAAGCTTCCGACTCTGGTGTAATGAAGCTTCACAAAAGCATTTATTTGAAACGATCTGGTGAAGCAAAAAACACAATATTTGAAACAATTTTTGGGAACAGCTCCCGCATGAATGTGTGAGGGGTAGAGGCCACACCTGTGGCAGTGCCACTGTTGCTTTGCATCGCTGGGCCATCACTAGATTACTGAGGGAGTGCGAGGGGAGGAGGAGGCCACTGCTGGCTTCATTTCTGGACACGGACAAAGAGATGTACGGACGTGTGTTCGAGGCATTCAAAGCTTTTCTCCAAACAGGAAAACGACCTTAGTAAGGCTCTCACATTAATAAGAAGGCTTTCGCTTTTATGGGATTTTAGGTGATAGCATAAGGGGCCCACTGATTCGTACAATTGTTCGTACAATTATCTGTCATTATTCAATTTGGAAGAATGAACAGCTACGCTTCTTGGTAATAATACTTGAATATTTTGAAAACATTGCAAAAATGACCCGCATGAAGAAAGGTGTGTTCTATTTTTGATACGTGTCGTTCTCGCGCTGCTTTATTCACGTTAAAACATTCTCTTTTCCTCGCTTAATAGACTATATGTCAATAGAGAAATTTCCCTTGGCTGAAAGTCCGTGCTGTGACCAATCTGCAGCGTCCTGGCCAGTGCCTCATTGGGGGGCATGCGTAGTGTGATCAGTCTCCCGTGAAACATATAACAGGCTCTGTCTTTGAGCTAGGCTCATCATTCCATCTGCAACTTAACTGTTCGCTTCGGTGCTTCAACAAAACCTTCGAATGACTACACGCCATCGCCACAATTTTCACGTATATTCTAACTAAATAAAATCACGTGGACAAATCGTGACTGAAAAATTAAGCGTAAGAGAATTTTCACTAGGTACTCACCTTGCTTCTTGTTATTCCAACGAGGATAAATTTTATTCCTGGTCTCGACATGTCGACATATCTTAAGTTGACCTGAAGTACAGCGTGAACAAGTCAACATGTGTGTCCATACTGTCGTATAGACATAAAAAAAAGCTTGGACAATGTCCCGCTAAAGGGAGCTATAGATGCGAAGCAGCGGGCTCTAACGCTCACACTGGCGTCGACGTTGACACTGGCGCTCATAAAGGGCAAGCCAAGTAGAGACGCTGGTAATTGACTGAATTCCGAACAAGCGATCCAGTTCCTGCATATACGGGGTGGCTAGTGAACGGTTCTGCAGTGCACACAATCGGTTTTTACTAGCACACGCTGCCTGCGTTTGCCATGCGAGGTGAGACATCGGTACACAGGGAGCGACAGTTTAGCGGGTGTCTTCCTGGGCCGGCACGAGACGTGAGCATGTGCAGTGGTGGTGTTCGGAGGGACAGCGTTACACAGCCTAGTCGAAGAGCTGCTTCGCATCTAACATAGGTTGCTGTTTTGAAAAAAAGAAAAGAAGTCAGCTTGTCGAAACATTGACTCCAGCACCGACTCTCGTTGTCGAATTTTTCAACATGAGCTTTTGTGTGTCATATATTCACATTTGCCATATGGCCGTATAGTGTGCCCACGTCAAGAGCACTTTCCAGCGTTTGCAAAAATGATAGCTCAAGAAACGTGTCAGCATACTAAGATAATAGCAAAATTCTTCGTAAAGCAGACAAACGAATGATTGGCTGTGCAGTGTAATGATTTACAACCAATAATATAAAATTTATGTAACACAATAATCCATGAGCAGCAGAAGCAGCAGCACCCGACTGAAACTGTTTATTCTAAGACTGTCACCTACTCGAATAGGTTCGCCAGAGATCCGTAATCACCACACTTGCTTATAGTGAAAAGCACGCAGTACAGCTGCGCCAGCTTGTGGACGCTATCTTGCAGAACAATGATATACCTCCGTGGGAACCCACTACAGAAATCAGGGCTTCAACCGGCGTCCGATGGGTCGGCAAGAATCATTGAATAAAATGATGAGGATGCTTACCACAAAGTCAAAATGCCTTTCACATTTCGGCCCAAGAACGAGTGCCTTGTTCATTATAAAAGCGAAGAGAGGAACCTAATGTTTTAAATAGTAGAAATCATGTGACCTAAATATCTCGAGTCTGATAAATTGAGACGCAAGATGCTTAGACCACGTACTTTAGACTACACACACCCTTAGGTTGCATCTTTCTCTTTTACTGTGAGCAGGGCTCCTGTTCATGGTGTTTAAACGTCAATGAAATTTCGCATTGTGGAGGCTGGCATCTTTGCCTTGTTATTAAATGCGCGCACAACTATCACACAGAGCGGGAAGTTTCAGAAGGACCCTTCTACGCTCCATATCTTGGGATTATCTTCGCACCTATGGAAGACGAACGTATTTAACTGAACGATGTATGCTAAATTTTTTATTCAGAACAACCGCCATAAAACCTGACAATAAAAGTATGGGACGCGGTAGAAATGAATACGGTGAAATTACAGGTATGGGCGTAACTTAGTTCTTAGTGGTCCTGTTTCAATTTGTGAGTATTGGATGTAGACTCTTGACTATAAAACACATCAACACAAGAAAAAGCCTTTTGTGAAGGTTCACAAAACATTTGTAGCAAAGATTAAGCTAATTATTAATGCGAATAAACTTCTGACCATGGTATTTCTATTGTGGAACTTTTTTTATCATAGCAAAACTGTCTTATACAAGAAGTAAATGGATGGAAGGAAAAAAAATTCGGCAGATCCCACGTACCTGGGAATCGACGTTATGCGAAGCATGCGAAGGGACGGTGACCATGTTGTAATTTTTTTTATTGAGCGACACGTCATGGAATGACGCTAAATATATGTACAAATATCGCATGCACAGACATGTGTTGAAGACTTGCAGATGTTTATATAACCAGTTGTTCGCACTTGCGCAACTATGCCAACGTGAACATGCGTATTAGCAACACCAGATTTGATATCAAGCGCTGATGCTCGCGAGGATGCTGGCCCTGGACACTGCTACACAAATCAACTTCAGCGCATGGCAACTAACCACAATCGACGGTAACCCGATGTGACGGCACATCAAATAAGTACATATGTAATGTTTACGAAATTGGGTAGGCAGCACTGCAACCACTATTGACGTTTCATAAAGATTTGAAATGTAGTTCCGAGAGCTCGCGCGTTAAAATTGATCATTTGTGTTCTCATCGTTCCTCGGTAGATACAAAGTGCCAATCATCTGTGGCACATACCCCCCTACCAGTGGCACATACCCGCCCGTGGGCATATGCCACTGTCTGGTGGAAACTGTTTGACGACGTACGTGACGAGATTGTCAAATAATACGTCTTCACCAGCGCGTCATGTTCATCAAACCATCTTACCCTCCCATGCTAATTTTGGTTGACGCCAAGTGAAGAGAGTGACCACGAGCGTAAGCGGATAGATAGATAGATAGATAGATAGATAGATAGATAGATAGATAGATAGATAGATAGATAGATAGATAGATAGATAGATAGATAGATAGATAGATAGATAGATAGATAGATAGATAGATAGATAGATAGATACTCACAAAGTCACCGAAGTTCGCTATGCAATGCTTCACGTTTAAAAAAGTACATTCCGGGCAGTTTTGATTATACACCGCATGAAATTGATTGTGGGAGATTATACTCACAGCGTTCATCGTGATGGCCATGTAAGCAATTAATTGTTCGTTTGTTTTGTAATCACGCTGATGTTTCTTGTCCGAAATCATGTGAAGTTCCACAAGAAAGGTATCTTCGTTCCGCTGTGGGCTCCCTGCACCACGTTTCCTGTTGCTGTTTCCTAAACACACAAGGAAATCCAAAATATATTGCATTTATATTGGTTGCACCTTTATTGAAGCTCATTACGCTAAAAATCACGCCTCTGTTTTCACGCTTTGGTGATGGGGAAGTACACTGAAGTCAAACCTAATATATGGGAAGTGCACGTTTTTTTTTTTTGGGGGGGGGGTGAAATTGTTCAGTGAAACAAGCGATGATGGCGACAATCACAATCGTGGGTAGTCGAAGAATCCGTCAGGTGCGTCGGCATTGATATGCGTAGCATTGAATATTCAAGCGTTATCGTTGGTGCTGTTGTTAATCCCCGCTCCTCCACCCCCCCCCCCCCAAAAAAAAAAACGACTCTTCTCTTTCTGTGCGCATTTTCTTTAGAACAGTCTTAAATGGTCGGGAAGGTTCCCAGAAATTCCGGCGCAGAATGTATCGGCAAAGCTCTGCGTCGTCCATACGCTTTTTCGCCCTCCGTTTTGGAGGCTGTGCGGATAGCCCATGAATAACAATGGTCCCACTAGAATACAAATACAAGCACGCGTCTGCCGAGTAATGCGGACAAGAATTATTATCATGACGCACTATAGCACTCGCTTCGTCCTCTACACGATACACTCCATTCTGCGAACGCGTGCGCAGATTTGTCGGGCGTAAAATGCAGTAAAAATGATGGTCGAGTCTGCTCCCTGAGTGGAAGCGTCGTAACGTCCAGTAACAGGTATAACCCCAACTGAATTTACGTAGCATCCCGCCCGCAACTGAGCAGGCAACTAAAATCGCCTATCACCGCCTAAGGACTATTCACGTGACCTACCCTCGTATTCATAAACTTGACATGAGCTTGACTTGAAACTGTCTTCAATGCAGCGCGTCTGTGCTTCCTTGGCACCGCCTAAAGAGAGCGCGTTCGAAACGTGCTCGCGCTGCCTTCGACGTCGGTGGCAAGTCAAGTACAAGTCAAGCAGTGTTTCTGAATACCGGGGTTTATACCACTTAACGCCACGTGATAGCAGCCATGTGAATAAAAAGAACATCACATGATTAACTAGTCTTCTGAGTGGATGGAGTGCTGACCCGAAAGTATCGGATTAGAATCCTGGACGTGGCGGCTATATTTTTGGTGGAGCCAAAAATGTTTCAGGCTCATGTACTTAGCTTTAGGTGCACTTTCAAGAACACCAGGTGGCCGAAACTTTCCAAGTCCTTCATCGCATCACTTTCCGTAATCATATTTCAAATTTCGGAGTTAAAACTCTTACAACCATTAATGTTATACAAAAGCGGAGAGCCAATCTTGCAGCCGTGGTGGCTGTTGTGGTTACATAACACTTGCAGACATATATATGGCGTCCTTGACGCAGCCAATCATGACCTACTTCTTACCCCGCCTATTGGTTCCTCGTCTTCCTTTTCCACTTGATCCATAAGCCATTGCTGAAAACAAATAAATACATTGAAAATAGCAAATAAATGATCTGCGGTGGCAAAACAAACTATGTTTTAGCAATAGACAGGGAAGGATATTGTGCCCACACAATTGGGGTCTAGGTAATCAAGGCTCTCTGTTGTTGGTGGCTTTGAATGCATGTCTATCCGGCCTCGCTCATTGTTAACGAGAGAGAGCGAACCATTGAAGTTTCGGCCTCGGTGTCTATGGCTATGAGCGAAAAATAGGCATTGTTTGCGAGTGAAAGTACGAGAGGAAAGCTAATTATGTGGGGAAGAGTTTTGTGCCTTTTTGACGTGAAACCAGGGGAATGGCAAAATAGGTAGTGTTTTTTCTTCTTCTTCCCTGCATGCCTGCTTTAAGCTCTCTATGGCATGCCGGAATGGTGTTCCACCTCCATTAACGTCATCGGCTATGTTGCCTTCGTCATCTTTCGTGGACTGGCGGCACGTAGGATAATATACCTTATTTTTGTGGTAGATACCTATGTTTATCACAAACCATGACTACACGACACATCATGGCGAGAGGAGACACTGATAAACCATGCCCACAATATTTCTTGCACCTAAAATATCACTAAAGCGTTATTTTGTAGTGTGAATCGAACCCAATAATTCTGTGGTGAAAACAGGTGCTTCACCGCATGGCCACGCCTGCGCTCGAAATTTCGTCGGCGAGGAACGGTATATGAACGTAATGTAGGGCGGGAAGTGTCCATATTGCATGTAATGTTGTGTGCCACAAGCCTAGAATCACACTAGTTCACCAAACATGTGAATATCTCAACGAGTTTCTAGTTTCTAAGGACATCGCTAACAAAGCACGCAGGCGTAATTAATTTTCATTGTCACTGACAGCGTACACAACACCTGCAGTTTCGCATGTACGTGTGTTGCGATGCTGCTTCATATGGATACCTCATCAAAACGCAAAAAGAACGGTGTCATTGTGCGTCTTTTGCAACCGTACTTGCAGTAGGTGTTCTAGGAGAGTTGGAAAAGATCCAATTAGCGGCGCACTGACGTCTCTTTCTTTTTGCAGCGAAAGCTGTATATGGCTTGTCGAAACGGAAAACCGTTCGCCACGAGAAACGCTAAGTGTCCCCCTCCCCATTGGCTGCTCTGTTAGTTACGTCGTTCCCTACGTCATACCAAAGCGTATGCGTCATTGGGAACGCCGTCAGCGACATCTAGGCGTCTAGCCCTCACGCAGCGGTTTGAATGAAGTGTCTTGAAAGAGACGAACAAAAAAGTGCAGTGCCATTTGTGAGTGTGTCACCTGAACATCACTGCACATGGAGCGCGAGTGAGAAAGAAGTGTAGCTGAGAAGGGAAAGATAGATGATGGCAAATGGGATAACTGGGCCCTGCGTGGTGCATGTGCGTGTGCGTCGCCTCTCAGCCAAGGAAAGCTGTATGGACCAATGGAACATTTTTTTTTCAAAGAAAAGGACGGCTCTGGGCCGCAGTTTGAGAGTATGGGAGGAAGGGAATATTAAGTTCACAGCGTGGGCATATAAGGATTACATTCATCCGTTGTAGTAGACGTTCTAAGAGCCGCATTCGCCCGATTTGGTCGACCTCCTCTACACCACTCGAAACAGGTCACTTGTACTAACTAGCACAGGTCGCTAGTGCTTTTTGAGCTTCGTCATAACACTGTATCACAACGCCTAAGCTTCCTATGTTGTTGCACGACAGGTGTTGAACGTGTGTTCTTCCTCACGAGAAAGCAGAGCGAACCCAATTAAGGGGGTGTAAATCTACTCGGCATGTTTCTTGACAATGTGGGAATCGAGAAGTGTTACCAATTGCTTGTCCCGCTCCAAACCATATGTCAAGTACTTGTGGTGTATATGCAGCATCGACCATAACCTTGTTCAAAAATATCTCTTGCTAGCGAGTAAGGGCGCATTTTTCGCTCAACAGAGGTGCTGGTCTAGCTTTAAGAGCCTTCGTTTACTGTCGTTTTTCAGTTTTACGTCAATATATTCCTTGAAAGCTCTGCTAGAAGAGCCTTCACAAGCAGGTCGACAGGAAAAGGAGAGATTTCAACAAACACAACGGGACAGGACCATGGGTGCGTGATGTTCGACGCCACAGTAAGATTCAGATTGCAATACTCACATGGGAAGGGTATGGATCGTAAGAACTCCCGAAGATGGACAACTGTCCAAGAACTGCACCGACAGCTGATCCGTGAAATAATTCACATTCACTGGGCTGAGGCGGCCGTGTGGGTAAGAGAACAGGCCGGGGTTCCGAAGCACAAGTGGGAACTGTACCCCGAGAACTGTGCCCCGATATTTGTCCGTGGTTGTGTTTTGCAATGCATGGCGTTTCTCAACAAGGCATTGGCTTGATAGATTTTACCGCACGCATACAGAAATCAACATTTCTAGCTATTTGCCGAGTGTTAAGTGATTGCCAAAGCCTCGGTGCATATTACGAGACTAGATTAAAGTTTCTTAAAGGTGTGGGACGAGCGTGTAAACATGGAATCAGATCTTTCACAATGTGAATCATTAATACATGGCAGTAGAATACAAGAAGCACCTTGCTATCGTTCTGGGGGCTTCGTTGTCTGGGTGTAAATGCAACGTTTTGTTTTGCATTGAAATAATGTCGACTACTACAACAGCATGCTCACTTAACATTGTCACCACTACAATAATACTTCGCTTTTAGTAAGAGTAACCATACATGTAACATTTATAAAATATAGCATCAATTGCTCACCCATTCTTCTCGATTCTGGCTCCTCCTGTACTTCGTATATTTTGTGCGGCATTTGGCCCTCCCTAGAACGTGCCGCCTGCAGCAAGGGCTTGATTCTAAGGTGGCTGCCAAGAATGCCTTCCTGGAAAAGAACATGAGAACAAAGCAGCGTTTGGACGCGAAGGTGTTTAAGGGCAGGATATACCACGGCTCCGCTAACGTATTTCCATGATGTACATGACGTTGCGAAATATAAATTGATAATAAAATAATAAGATTGCAAAAACAACAAAAACACGGTATATTCACAAAGTGAATGTTAATGAATGGACAAAGCAGTGGGATTGATCAGTTTTAGTGTTAATTACCCATCACATTGACCACTCACGCCCGATTTCGAGTCATGTGAAATAGAGCACGTCGAGGCGTCTTAATTCAACTGCACAACATTTAATCATATGGTGTAGTAGCGCAAATTTACGGGGACGAAGAGGACAAGAAAACACGACACTTGTGTCATACTCTTCTTTTTGTCGTTTCAAAATTTTGTTTCAAAAACGTGTGAATTCCCGCAAATTTTTTGGTTTTTTGATTTGATGTTACCCAGGGCTGTTTTAGTTGTGTCATTTTAAAGTGTCTAAGCGTAACTGCCGTGCACTATCGCTTGAGTCTGCGCAAAAGCTTCTGTTGGCAATGATTCAGTGTTCGTAGTTCTTTTCTGTGTCGCTAGGGTTATGGGTTATATATGAAGTGCTGCTTCTGAAATAAAAATTAGTTGCGAGTGTAGCGAGTGTCGTGTTTTCTTGTCCTCTTCGTCCCCGTAAATTTGCGCTACTACACCATATGGTTAAATGATGTCTCACCAACTAGCCCAGCTCTCAACCCTACTCAACTGCACAAACTCGTCGTTGTCCGTTAGCCCCATTGTCATGATCTTCATCGCCACCAGCACCAGCCAGCCCTGTTGTCATCGTCATGGCACATAGTGCGTACCTTATTTGTTTTGGGCTTTGCCGTTATGGCAGAAAGATGTGTAGTCTGGAACACGCTTGTTCTTCAACGTCGTGAGCATCATCGTTAGCAGGGGCTCTTGCACACAACCCCAACACCAACGGACAAGCCTCGACCATAAGAAGCTTTGACCCTCAAACTTCCGTCACTGGGTGTGACACCTACGACCTCTTGCTCCGCAGCGCGCGGCGCGAAACCACTATAGCTATAGGCCACGGATAATCACTCTCAGTCAAATCTTGGCTAGAATACACGTCTGCAGGAAGGGAACCCGGTAAAATTTGGGCCACTTCCAGTCAGTTTGCCACACGGCTCCGTAGTCGTGTCCCAGAGAAGGCGGTGCTATTTCAAATGGTGAACAGAACAGCAGTGACAAAGATTAGCCAGGATTTTAAGTTAAAATTCTGCCGCAGCGCGTGATAGACCGTGGACGGCATGTTTATAAGAGGCCCACCTTGCGGAAGAAAATTGTATTTTTAACGCTCTTTGTGTGCGGCGTTGCAGTTTGTCTGTGGTATTTCTTATTACTAGTAATTAGAAAATGGACAGTAACACATTCATCAAATATGCAACACTACCACACGGATTACGCGCAGCGTGCGCTAGAATCGAACTCGGTACCGCATGCATTCGAAGCCGGCACCTGGCCCATTGCAGCATAGCGCCAACGCATACAACTTCGTTGTTCCGTGGGGGTATATATCTACGAAGTGGTTCGCAAAACATTGGCGGAACGTAGAACTCCATTTTTGTGTCATATGCTTGTGTTTGAGCGCGTATTAGGTCAGCGAAATCGTTTGTGGGGCTTCATGGATTTGAGACAACTGCGGTAAGGGCCTTCGGCTGCGGCTTTGGTACGTGGTGCGCCGTGACGTAAGAACAATTAACGTGTGTTTGTGCGCCATCTCTGTCATCCGTAGGTGTTTCGCTCACCGAAAATACGTGGATACCAGCGTGACGACGATATCGTAAGCTCTTGAAAACCACGTATGTTTCTCCCTATAGCACGTCTACTGTGAGCCATTCGCTTCACAAGGTACGCGAATGTTGGTGACAGTGCCCATTCTAAACTTTTCAAAGACCATGTTCTTTCACGGGTTTAACAGTACATTGGTTTTACAGCGTGCCTACAGTAACATTTGCATGTCGCGCGCGTGAACTATGATGAGCTGCACGCTTGGGCTGCAGCAAAGTTTTAGTATTTCGACGATCATCTACTGCCGCAATCGTATTCGTGCACGATTTAGCGATATCAGTGTTTTTTTTTAGTATTTACCTTTTCCTATATATGGGGAGGGGCAACTCTTACATTTATTCAGCATCACGTTGCTGTTCAAGTGAATGCCGAAATGTGCGCCAATGTGAAGTAGAACGTTCACAAACTACCGACAGACAGGTCACCTTCCAATTAAGTAGTTAATTCTTTTGCACACCTCTTTCCCGAACGTCTGCGTGCAGTTGCAATGGGGTCAAGAGATGGTGCAGAACGAACCTGAACATATTTATTGTTGATGTATTTCTCAATAAAAGACTGCTGCTCCTTAGAAAATTGCAAGTTTTATAGCTACCAACTGCTTTCCACAGCAGTACACGGGTTGACTTTACCGTAGTTCAATGTTAGAAATGCCTGGCTGAAACTAGAGAACTGAACCACACATTCAAGAGTGAAGAAATGTCTGTCACCTACGCTTTCCAGGCGACTTTGCACCTCGTTGTTCAAGCTCATCATGCAATTACGCAACTAATAATAATACATCAACCCACCAATTTTCCAATTTGATCACTTTCTGCCTCGATGCCTTGCGTTTATTTCTTTAGAGCAAAGCTTTCCAAAAATTATATGTTCAAATTGTTGTGTAGAAGATGAGCAGTAACATTTACACGTCAGTGTACCAGCTGTTGTGCATGCGCAAGTACTCTTTTTTTTGAACGCATGGCAAATGTCATACCTTGACAACGGATAAAAGGATTGTTGACACAAGCAAGTATATCATTGTTTGTTGATTCTGTAGTTACGCTGCAAGTACGTCTAGGTTGTGCTGTTCGTATATTCAATTACAATTTATTTCTGTATAGCATTCATTCGTTTATTAATAACTTATTTGATTTCCATGCACAGATACAGAAGGACACAGAGGAAAGAGGGAGAGAGCAAGCTGGCAACTGCCACATGGAGTGGCACTACGCCTGCTCACTCTCTCGGGAGGAGGGAAAAACAGAGGAAACAAAAAATTGAGGGCATTTGTTTGCTTTTAAGGCAAAACAATGCACAATAAACGCTCATCTGCCCCTGTGAAACCACGTTTAAGTTTCATGTTATATCGACTTTTTTACAGAGTAAAGAACCACGTTTTTGATGTGATATGAAAAGGACAAGTTTTCTGAAGGAAGCGAAGAGTTTCACGTAAAGATAAAAAAAAAAACTGCCACGTGACGCTTGAGGATTGCCTGCTCAAATAAAAATTGCCTTTTTAACGAAAATGATGATCAACTCAGTATCAAAATACTGCGTAATTGAAAGCTCATGTAGAAGTTAATTATTGCATGAGTTTATTGATAGCAAACTGTTAATTCGACAAAGGTATATTCACCACTCACAATACCTTTGAATTTTTTTTCCTTGAAAGACACGTGGCAAAAATGTATTGTCACACACCTAGTACTTTCCACAATCATTCATAACTTCAGAACATTATACTTTTTTTTTCAAGAAACCTTACGTCTTAGTGCTTCATTCAAATTTAAAACGTTCGCTTCCTCGAACAACTACCGCCTTAGCGTCTTTCGCGTGACGTCTAATCAACTTCAACGCCTTTCTGAAAAAAACATTCAGTCATCATTCCTCCACTGCGTTTTCCGGGAAGTACTCACGCTGTTTTTCAGGTACTAACATGCACTTCTTTCACCGTGCTTATATTAGCGTACTTTTTTTCACATAATTAAACCTTCAACGTAAAAGTTTACAAATACATTAAAACAAAGCCAACCTTAGGAGAGCACTGAGCGATACAATCTCACCTGTAATACGCATGGTAGGAAAGACTTACAACTTGGACTGCTCCGTCAATACTGCGTACCATCACTGAAGACTGCCGATGCGAGTCGTGGTACAGATCCTTCTGAATGAAAGACGTGTCCACCTGCGACGCGCCATTTTGTTGCCCTTAATTTCTTGTCAGCAATGATGCTAGATGCCACTGCGAGCTTTAATACTTAGATCACTTGCTTAGTAGGTTTATTCTTGGGATATAATCAATATTCATTTACCTTTTCCACACGGTGTTCATCCTTATCGCTCGTTACAAAAAGCAGCTCATCAGCGAGCACAGAACTTCTTTCGAGGTTGAGTGTTATGTCGTCTGTAATCCTAAGAACCATGGTTGTACCAGTCATCCTCTCTTCTAATACGCTTGGATATGCAATGACTTCTGCCTCTGAGAAAAATGCAAAAGAAATTTGAAAGGAAACAGAGAACATGGAAAGACTGTTTAACAACGCGAACAAAAACGCTTGTCTCCGTACGGTTACAAAATCTTTGAGTATTGTCTGTTGCACCGCTCATAAACGATGCATGCATTCGTACCAACTCACTGAAATGTCAGTTCTACCTAATTGATATAAATGTATGACTGTTCGCGCTGCAATGAAATGATCCCGCAATGAAATGATTTAGCAAGTAGGAAAGAGACCTGTAGGAGTCACCCTGTATAAGTTGGTTTTCAAACAACGGTAGTGTATACAGAAGAGAGGAAGCAGAGTTCTAAAAGACTTCATCATGTCGCACCAACTCTCCTAATCCTGCAGTTTTTTTTTAAGTTTCTACAGCTCCTAGCGTTAAGCTTAGGTTGCGCGGTCCCTCATGAATTTTTCAGGTTTAAATAGAGTTTATTGCTTCTTTAGTATTTGCGAAGACGGCGTATTCTGTGTTTGTTCCAAAAATAATTAACGAAAGGGCCTAAGATACTTGATTCTCGGTAACATAATTTATTTATATATTTGCTTTTACTGCGGAAGCACAGCGCCGATACACAAAGTGAAGAAAGTAGAATAAAATGAATAGACGCTGTAACATTGCTATAGTAGTAGTGATATGGAGTTTGTGTAATAATGTTTGCTGCTTATAATTCCCCACCCCCGAAAGGGGTGTGCTAGTAATGAGTTGCATGGGCAGGCAGTTCGAATCCCAAGGTTAATTGAAAAGACGTAACACGAATTCGAGGCAATCGATGAGGAATTGTATAATGAGTACATTAGGCATGGATAACGTCATAAGCTACATTGAGCTCAAGTGGTGTCATTCCCATTTGCTAAGAAAAAATAACAAAAATCTAAACTGATAACAATTTAAAAAATCAGAACTGATAGCAACTTACTTGCACGCCAGCATTGCCCAAGCTGCCAGAATATTGCAATGACAAAGATTTCATATGCATTCATCACCTGATTATTCGGCATTACCAGTAGAGAAATCCTATACTGTGGTCTTCAAAATCAGTGTTCTCTCTCCTGAAATATATTGCTGCTTCTGACAAGACCTAGAACGGTCACCTTGGTGTCAGCGATTTTTGATTAAGATGTACTTGTGTGTTTGTTGGTTACACGGAGCTCATAGCATCCCATATAAAAAAAGGGCGAAGCGGATACACACAATGACCGATGATGTCATCTACCTTCACGTCTTTGCCTCTTTCTGAATGACCGTTTGTTCAAATTTTCGAAACGCAGTGTTAGGAGCTACCGAGTGTGGAATTGTCAAAAGCCAAGATCTTAGTGCCATTTTTCGGAAAACTTAACAAATTGAAGTGTTTGCTTTGAAATGCCACGGTGATATTGTACGACCCTCCCCAGTTTGAGAGACGCTACAAAAACAACCTGTCATTCAAGTTGTATAACTTCCCATTTTTGGTTGTTGGCTTCGAGAACTGACTTGAGACTTATTTAAGCTCCTGAGCCCGATCGTACTGCTAAAGTGATTTCGACAATGCTGTTATTTTAAATGGTATTCTTTACCTGTGGATTATTCTGATTGCGTTTTGGATAGCAGTAGGTTTTTTTTTTTTGAGGATGTTAATTTTGCATCATGTTTGTTATTTTTTTATTTTTGCTGAACTTATTGGTATGAAATAGCCGAAATAATAAAAACCTGAATAAAGACCCCAGAGGATGACAGTTATAAAAGAACAGAGCAGAACAGGGAGATGAAAAGCTCAACCATCAATTCAGCCTGAGTACTTATCCGAATCGCTCCATTCGTTAGACTTAATTTATGCTGAGAGAGAGAGAGATAAATAGAGAAGAAAGGCAGGGAGGTTAATCAAGCATGGCTCAGTTGGCTACCCTACACTTGGGGTGGGGGAAGGGGAGAATAACAGAAAGGAAATGGGAGATGATATAGGCTCCAACCAAACGTTTTTAAGAGACCCGACGTTTCGGAAACGACTTGGTTTCTTCTTCAGGGGTGACTGCGTAGGCTACGTAGCAGCAGTGTCTTCAAAGCACTCTAGGGGTGGCTAATGACCCCTCTCTCTCTCTCTCTCTCTCTCTCGTTTTACCGTGGAGTGAAGTCCGTCTTTGTACACTGGGGGAAGGGTTCCGAGAGAGCGGTTGATGTTGTGGGCTGTTCCCTGAATGTGCAACGTCGAGTAACAACCTTCTCCTCCAGTTCAGCTCGCTTTCGAGGGTGGCCGTCGCTTCGAAATTTATCTTGTGGTCCAATGTCTCCGCATGTTCGGCGACTGCGCTGCGCTCTTTGTAGAACTTCCACACATCGTTGGCGTGTTGCTTCAGTCGTTCCGGTAGGTTTTTTTCGTCTCACCGATGTACGACGCGGGGCACTCGGCGCACGGAATTTCGTAAACGACACCGGGGCTCCTGTCCATTGTTCGCCGGTCTTTTGGACGGGAGAGGAGGCGGCCCAGCGGATTTATGCTGAGATTTTGCTTCCCGGAAGTGTACATACTGTCACGTGGACGAGATGACTAAAGCTTTGCTGAAAGACTTGCATATGCAAAACATTTGATCGGTCGATTTTGTGCCCTTCAAATGGAAGGTTAAAGTACAAGCACTCTAAACCTTACAGTGATAATCCAGCGAGAACAGACGTTGACCTTCGAGTGGTATGTGATATGATCAGCGATAAGACGCGTCTGTATTTATACGTGACATATCAAAGATTCAATCAATAATTTCTCCTTGAGAAATATGGGGGGTAGCGGAAAAAGATCCGCAGTATTGCGACTCGACAGAGCTCCGGCCCCCTACAAAGTCCAGCAGCAAATAGTCAAGTAGAAAAAGAAACCTTTGCAAGAAATATAACGTTTGAACTCAGTGCACTAATGCAGGTAGTGGCAACATATAATAAAAACTAGGTTAAACAACAAATATTTGATTTCTTTAAGAAACATCATACGTAATGAGACGCAGTCATGCGATTGAGAATAATAAAGGGGGTAAAAGGAATGAAAAAGGCACAATTGCAATTGAAAATATCGTAATTTATACAACATAAGTTTAAATTTTCCAGGTTTATTGCAGGTTTATTCCTGGTTTATTGTTGATGGTCGCGTTTGTTCCGAAATATGCTTTACTGCGGGTTATTTGGATTAAACCTTGCAGATCTTTCTAGAATATTCGGCCTTTGAAATTTTTGGCGTGGCGCACGCAAGGACGTGGTGACACGTTGGTTTCAATACATTTACCATACTGCCAACGTGCTGAATACTAGGGTAGCCATACCATGTAAAATTCATTTACTCAAGGACTTTTTAAAATTAATGTGCATCAGCAGAGGTTGATGCCTAGGCATGAATTCGGCTGCTCCTTTTTAGTTACATAATAATTTGCTTGACGAAGTTGTCAGTAAGCATAACGTAATGCAAGAAAACTGAAAAAATTGTGCTACAATTACGGTGGGAAACGAAGTTAGGGATGAGACAAAAAAGTAGTGGACAGTACAAGCGCAAACTATCTGCTGAATTTATTGATCGAACTTGGCAGCAATTGTAGCGCAACTCTTCCCAGTCATAAAAAGCCAACTAGCCCAACACCTCATTTCTCAATGCAAGAACGTGTGCACGAAAATGGGCATTTACAACACTAATGTTCCTACGTCCTAAGTATAGGGCAACATCAACAAATCTGGATGTCGTTGTGCGCAACGCATTAAAAAGTCACGTTACTTCGAAGAAGCAATGCCCAGAAGGACACCAAAAACGCCCACATAAAAAAACACTATCCTAATTTAATGCTGTGTTTTGGCTCCTAGTGATGCTCAACGTTTTTGCTACGCTTTAGTGCATTTGTTCATGGCACTCCTCGCACTGCATAACATTCATGTACAATTTTTTTTTAATTTCGAAATGGTTTCAAGAACGAGCTTGGTTTTGTGATAAGGCGACTGCTTGCCACTCAAAAAAGTCACGTGTTCAACGCTCTCAACAACTGAAACTCTTTATTTACATTTTTTTGTTTGCGCTTATTTCTTATTTTTCCTCACAAACAACACTGCTTCTTCGCTCACTACTATGGAAGACGAGACCGGAATGGCTTTTTGAGGCAATATTGTCAAAAGACATGGCAGCGATACACTGTAGTGTGAGCACACCAAGGTAGCAGCGGAGCTGTTGGCGTTGCCTTCCTGCTTTTTCTCCTTCTCACCCACATTTTCACTTTCCACCTCTTGCTACAATCATCAACAGTCTACCGACGCCCTTTACAGGACAAAAGCCTCTCCCATCTCCCATGTTCCATCAGTCAACTCGGTCCTGTGCTTGCAGATACCCGCAAACTTTCTAGTATTGCCTGCTTCCCTAACTTTCTGTCTCCCTCTCACCCACTTACCTTCTCTGGGAATCCAGTCAGTTACCTTTAATGACCAGCGGTTATCCTGTCTACACGCTACATGCCCGGCCCATGTCCATTTCTTCTTCTTGATTTCAACTATCAAATCTTTAATCCCGGTATGTTTCCTGATCAATTCTGCTCTCTTCTTGTCTCTCAAGGTTACACCTATCATTTTCCTTTCCATCGCTCGCAGCGTCGTCAATTCAAGCAGAGTTTTCTTTGTAAGCTTCCAGATTTCTACTACGTATACGTACGGGAAATATGCAGCTGTTATAGTATACCTTCCTCTTGAGGGATAGTGGCAGTTTGCCGGTCATTATTTAAAAATATTTGCCGAATGTGCTCTCCCTATTCTTAGTCTTCTAGTTACTTTATTCTCATGGTTTGGCTCCTTGGTTAATACCTGCCCTAAGTAAACGTACTCTGTTACATCATTAGGTGCGCTGTTGCCTATCTCTAAGCGCTGTTCTCTTCGGACGTTATTGCGCTATACTTTTGATTTCGGCAGATTAATGTTACGACCTACCTTTTCGCTCTCGTTGTCTAATTCAGTAATCGTGAATCGCCATTCGTACCCTGGATTACTCCTTCTAGGTGCCACGGCTGCGACGGGATGGGCGACGTCCCTCACAACGTGCGTTCTCAATTGGATTTGACGCTGAGAGTGACGTAGCTGATAAGACAGCCAATGGACACCGCTAGTGACACCGCTTCCGGGCGGCTTTTAGTTTCTCCTAGCCATATAGAGCTTTCGCTATACAGCCTTGCCCAATGACACCATAAGCTAGAGAATGGTGCTTAGGCCATTAATAGTCTTCCAGAAGGTGCACGTGCGCGTGCTATTCTGGAATACCTACAATACTATAAAATAATCATAAAAATTTGCAAAGTACACACTACGCGTCTATAAGGCAAGCCGTGCACATGTTCAAGCTTCGTTGATACAGTCTCGGTTGCACAAGATGATCCTGATCAAAAGACTGCTTGTCGGAATGAACTAATGACTTGTTGCACAGTCCACGAAATGTTATGTCTCGTGTGACTCCATACATCTGCCACCGAATAATACATCTGTGAACATGACTTCTTGCCCTACACTATACATGCATATCCTCCTTACACACTGTTTTCCACCAATGAAGTGGCTCTGTGCAAGAAAGATTGACAGCTACACAGAGCGCCTGTCTACTATGCTGGCTGCAAGCATCATGACAATGGGTAGCGTACTGTATATATGTTTCGTGAGCTAGCACGGCTTACGCCGTAAAAGGCAATAGGATGATTGACATATAAGTCAACCCCGCAACGACCAATCTGACTCAGTAGGCGTTTGTCGCTGCTCAAAAAGTCAGTTTCGCTGCCAGGTGGAAGCAATGAATGTTATACTAATCTGATTTCACACCAGGAACGGCTTGAAAACTTTGATGTGCTGCTAGTTTTCTAAAGACGACCGGTCTACGCGACCACTTATAAGCGTGCAATGGACAAGGTCACATCTAGACACACGTTGCCCTTCACTTCTCTCTCTCTTCTCTTTAATCCCCTCACTCCTTCCCCCAGTGCAGGGTAGCAAACTGGACGTGCGTCTGGTTGACCTCCCTGCCTTTCATTTCTTTCCTTCCTCCTCCTCCTCCTTGATGTGCTGCTAAAGAACAGATGCATGCACAGAGAGAACACACATA